GCAAAGGTGCTTGTCGAAATTTATGCCACTTTTGTTGCGCCGGAAGCAGTATATATGATCCAGAACGGCTGCCCACTGCACAGGAACTGGAAGAGAAGTCAAAACCATTTACTTGTTTAGAGATCTTATCACTGTTTTCTCAATTTTTTTGCCATATTGTTTACACCAAAAAGTGGTAAAAAATCATAGAAATAGGCATCGGGAGCTTTGGCGTCGGTAATCATGGAAATAGGCATTAGGCATCGGGAGCTTTGGCGTCGGTAATCATGGAAATAGGCATCGGGAGCTTTGGCGTCGGTAACTTACCGATAGTTCGCAACTTACCGATAGTGGGTTGGCATCGACAACTTACCGACAAAGCTTATGGATAAGAGTGGTTATTTAAACGTGGAGAGTGCCTAAAAATAGGAAGATAATAACCACCGTTAGGAAGTTACTTTTTATTTAAAATTTAAAAGTTGTAAACGCTTGTACGGGATTATAAATATCCCAAGTTTGTATTTTAAAGAGGCCCCCGAATCAACAACAGAACTCACGTTCTTTATCAGTTTGTCTTTCTTTTATCTTTACATTTCCTGCACTCGTACCTTTACATTTGGCCAAGGCCATTATTTTCCTGCAATTTACAAGCTTTAATTCTTTAGGAGTAGTTCTAATGCTCAGATTCACGTCGCCGAGTCGTCCTCCGATATGAATCTTCATCCCCGGTGCTTCGTCGTCGAGTCAAATCCCGGCGTAGTGCCGCCGCTCTTTCAAGCTTCGTCCTCGAGTCAAATTCCGTCGAAGTTTGTTTCGATAGTACTTCCTAAACTTTTCCGTCGAGTCAAACTCCGGTTTGGTTTAGGTTTATACAATTCCACGTTGATTTTTATGATCGCTTGGATATTTCCTGTCAAATCACCACAGAACCCGTCCTTCAATTAAAAGCCGAAGATCCATTTTCGGTGTTTGTTTCCTTACGGATTAAATTACGGAGAAACACATATATAATGGGTTTTTCTTGGATGTACATTGGCATTAATTTTATTTATCATGAGACGCAACGGCATAGAAATGGCAGTTCCATTTGTTTCTCGAGTTTTGCTTGTCAAGATCAAACTCTATCAGATTTTATGCTTTGTTATTCTGGTGGAAGTCTCAAGAATTATTTATCAATCTTCCCCAGATTTTAAAGCTTACATCCAAACTTTTATGCCATGTCGTGCCTCATTTCCTATGGTATACTGCTTGGACGAATGTTGAAACCAGAATCCTTTACCATGTGTGCGATCGCTTTATGTACCATGTGTGTGATCGCCTTATTTCAATTGGTGAAATTTATGCAGCAGGAGTTTCTTGTACCCATATATGAGCTGAAGAAGACTGAACTTTGTAGCAACTGTCAGATAAATGGAGCATGCAAGGCAGATCTTTCTCTCTTCTCTTACTGTCATTATCGAGAAGGCGGGAGGGATATCAGTTTGTTGCTTCTCGAAGAATGGGTAAAAAAACTTTTCGCAATCAATTTTGTTGAGCTTCTCAAGAATGCCATCGCCATGGAATCGCTATTGACTGGTTCAGGTGGAGATTCTGTGTAGCTGCTAATTGCCATTTGCGCTGTACTTGAAGTCCTACGAAGCGTCTCTACCCTGCACTCGACTTTTGGTCCGCCGCAGGGTTGGCTTCAGGGTCCGCCTAGTCGCCTACATCGTTATGGACGGACCCGTTTAACTCGCAACTTGCTTCGCAGGGACTTCCCTCAGTGTTGACCAAGAAGTCGTTCTGTACATCTTTATCAATTCATTGGCTTCAATTTAATCTCGTTTTCAACAAGAAAAACGAGAAGGAGAATCCTCGTGATAGAAGTAGCCTTTGCATGACACCCCACTCCCACGTGATCTAAAGTTTGTATCCCTAGGATTTCATGTGATGTTTGTGAATTATCGCAGAGGTGGGTTGTCGGTCTGCTAAAGCGCCTGTGCGAGAGCTGCATTCATTAGCCGGCAAGCGTGCTTGCTGACGCAATAGCGTTCGCTGTTTATTAGATGGTCCCGGCTCAAATAATTGGCCAACATCACATTTTCGATTCCTGTCCTCACTAGGTGAAATTTGACTTTAAAGCCTCGTAGGTCTCTAGTTTCTTGGTAAGTTCGCGTTACGTACAGAGACTGTGATTCTAGTTGCCCATGCTGCACAACTTCGACAAGTTTCATTGAGATAATAGAAAGGTCAATATCCTTTATTTAGTCCTTCATGTGTGGATAAACACCTAGCAATCGCAGCTTAATACGCTGGACGAGTACATCTCAGCTTATTGATCACCACTACGTGAGCAATGACTCGATCTAGTAATAGAACTAGGCAAATGGCCTTTGGTTGTAGCAGTCTAGATTGTTGCCGTATCCCACCTTCAGCAAGTCGTTGTATCTCTTGTAGAAGCCGATCCGGTCCTCCACCTGCGGGTTCGAGCCCTTCCCGCACTCGATCCCGCCGTTGATGATGTTGGTGATGACCCCGTAGCCCGGGACCCGCCCCGCCGCGCTGTCCGCGGCGGACGGCTGCCACTGCCCAGTGATGACGGCGTGGCACGAGGGCTTCGGTGACTGTGCTGTCATCCAGAACCAGAGGGCCGTCTTGAACGAGATGACTGGGTCAGTCGCGACCGCGTCCGGGTTGCTCAGGAGGTCGTAGTTGATGGCTTTCCCCGCCGGGCCGTAGTTGTAGTTGCTGGGGAAAATTGTCATCAACCAAATATATCAAAATCCGAGAAAACCTATCTTTCTTAAATTCAAACATGTACCGACCAGATTCATGCCTATATAATTATATACAACTAGCGAAAATCATAAGCAGACTTAGTCTAGGTAAATACCGTGACGATGAATTTAGAGAATACTATACATAATGAAATTGAAGGTTGATTTTATTTATCTTACTAAGAGATTTGGATAGGACCACGTCCGTAGTATTTCTTGCCAGGAGCACAAGGCCATTGTTGGTTGGCAACGCAATAGTCTCCAGGATTGCCTTGCTCTTGCAAGAAGCAATATCCCCATGCATATGGACCGTCCGGTGCACTTGCCCATCCACCTATAAAATACTTGTTCAATGATTGCATGAACCATGCATAATTCAATGGAAAACCCGTCTGTTTTTGCCAATGAAATTCGTCTTCAACAACGCAAGGCAAACTCCCAAGTAACGACTTGAAACTAAAATGATTAGTTGAGGACAAAACACCTGTGGTTTCGTGCGATGTCTGAGCCAAAAATGCCGCGATCTCTCGCTTCCTCGTGTCCGTGTCGCCCGTCGTCCCGAACCCGCCGAACGACTTCGCGGCCGCGATGAACGCGTTGTAGGTGTAGAACCCTTTGCCGGGGCAATTCCCGTCGTTCCGATGCTTCAGCATCTGGTTGAACATGTCCTGACTGATCAAGCCGCCGATGTCCCCGCCGCTGCCGGAGGGAGTCGGCGTTGGTGTGGAACCGCTAGGAGTACACTGGCTCTGGCAGCCGTCACCGCAGTAGGCAGGGGTGCTGCCGCAGTAGCCGAACTTGCTGCAGCACAGCCCTCCAACGCACTTGGCCCCGCCGGCTTGGCTCCCGCACTGCTGAGCGGCAGCCCCAAGCGCCAAGGCCAGGAGCAGCAACGGCACCAAAGACCCGAGCCTCATTTTCTGCGAAATTATGTGTTGTCTTTAAGGTAGTTTGTGTCTGTGGATGGAGTCGGAGGTTTGTGTTGGTGGGTATTTATAGGAAGCGAGAAGCAGAGTTGAGGATCTCTGACTATTCAACAGACTCGACCGATAGGAGGAGTAGCTAGTGAAGAGTCTTCCTCAATTCATCCAACGTTTGACATTTTGCGTTCGTACGCGGAGGCTTGACCATGCTGTGCACCATTTGACTTTCATCCTACGCCGCGTGTCACGCCCGATGGCGCAAACTCGTTCGATCCTCTTCAGAGCATCTCGTACAACACTTCTTGTCGATGTATATACGTGATGCTTCAGGAGAATTAAATGCTTACTCACAATTTCGTCGGAAGGATCCAACGACGCTGGAGCCAATTTGAATTCGGAAGATTTTAGATAGAAATTTCCGTGAAGAAATTGTATTTCTAACGTGACTCTTGCATATACTCCATCCGCCCGTTCCACTTGCGAAATAATGGTAGAAATGAAAAAAAAAGTTCAGATTTATGTGATTCGATTAGTGTGATTTACGTCCACAGAAAAGATCGAGACAAGCAGGTCGAACCTTGTAGTCGTGGTCGAGTCATTTCATTTATTTGGCTTTGGTGAGCCTGTTGTAATGTAAACGGACCACGGAAGCTAACCGGGATCTTGCAATTTATGTCAATGCGAAATCAACGAAGAAATAAACGAGAAACGATAAAGGACACTGATATTTACGTGCATCCATGGACAGAGCCAGCGACTAATAATTTACTAATAATCACCGTGTCCACGTCCGTGCGGCCGAAGACCAAGAACGTCCTTCGAGCCGCTCTTCCTTTGGTCGAAGGAATGCACGTCTGCTTCTTATTTCTTGTTCTTCGTGCGGCGCTCGTCTTCAAGAGCTACTGGTATGGTTATAAAATCAGTGGACATATGCGTGTCCCCTTCCGTAATTTTAACAGAAAAACGAGAAGGAGAATCCTCGTGATAGAAGTAGCCTTTGGGTGACACCCCCCTCCCGTATGATCTAAAGTTTGTATCCCTAGGATTTCATGTGATGTTCGTGAATGCTCGTAGAGGTGGACTGTCGATCCGCTAAAGCGCATGCGCGAGAGCTGCATTCATTCGCCGGCAAGCATGCTTGCCGACGCAATAGCGTTTGCTGTTTATTAGATGGTCCCGGCTCAATTAGTTCGCCAACATCACATTTTCCATTCTTATCCTCGCTTGGTGAAATTTGACTTTAAAGCCTTATAGGTCTTTAGTTTCCTGGTAAGTTCGCGGTACGCACAGAGACTGTGATTCTAGTTACCCATGCTACCAACTACTGCAAGTTTCATTGAGATAACAGAATGGTCAATATCCTTTATTTAGCCCTTCACGTGTGGATAAACACCTAGCAGTCGTAGCTTAATACGCAGGACGAGTACATTTCAGCTTATTGGTCACCACTACGTGAGCAATGACTTCGATCTAGTGATAAAACTAGGCAAATGGCCTTTGGTTGTAGCAATCCAGATTGTTGCCATATCCCACCTTCAGCAAGTCGCAGTATCTCTTGTAGAACCCGATCCGGTCCTCCACCTGCGGGTTCGAGCCCTTCCCACACTCGATCCCGCCGTTGATGATGTTGGTGATGACCCCGTAGCCGGGGACCCGCCCCGCCGCACTATCCGCAGCGGACGGCTGCCACTGGCCGGTGACGACGGCGTGGCATGAGGGCTTTGGCGACTGTGGCGTCATCCAAAACCAAAGGGCCGTCTTGAACGAGATGACCGGGTCGGTCGCGACCGCGTCCGGGTTGGTCAGGAGGTCGGAGTTGATGGCTTTACCCGCCGGGCCGTAGTTGTAGTTGCTGGGGAAAATCGCGATCAACCAAAACATATCAATATCCGAGAAAATCGATCTTTCTTTAATCCGAACCTATACCGACCAGATTTGCGCCCATACAATAATATACAACTAGCGAAAATCATAAGCAGACTTAGTCTAGGTAAATACCGTGACAATGAATTTAGAGAATACTATACATAATGAAATAGGAGGTTGATTTTATTTAACTTACTAAGAGATTTGGATAGGACCACGGCCATAGTATTTCTTGCCAGGAGCACAAGGCCATTGTTGGTTGGCAACGCAATAGTCTCCAGGATTGCCTTGCTCTTGCAAGAAGCAATATCCCCATGCATATGGACCGTCCGGTGCACTTGCCCATCCACCTATAAAATAATTGGTCAATTATGTTGGAACCATGCATTATTCAATTGGAAAACCCATCTGTTTTTGCCAACGAAATGGTCTTCAATAACGCAAGGCAAACTACCAAGTAATGACTTAAAACTAAAATCATTAAACCTGTGGTTTCGTGCGATGTCTGAGCCAAAAATGCCGCGATCTCTCGCTTCCTTGTGTCCGTGTCGCCCGTTGTCCCGAACCCGCCGAACGACTTCGCAGCCGTGATAAATGCGTCGTAGGTGTAGAACCCTTTGCCGGGGCAATTCCCGTCATTCCGATGCTTCAGCATCTCGTTGAACAGGTCCTGACTGATCAAGCTGCCGATGTCCGGCTGCTGGGCGGCGGCTCCGAGCGCCAAGGCCAGGAGGAGCAACGGTATTAACGACCCGAACCTCATTTTCTGCGAAATCATGTGTTGTGTTTAAGGAAGTTTTGTGTTTGCGGATGGAGTCGGAGGTTTGTGTTGGTGGGTATTTATAGCAAGAGGAGAAGGACTATTTCAACAACGGGCTCGGACCGCTTGGAGTAGCAAGCGACGGTCTTCCTCCAATCATCCAAAGTTTGACATTTCGGGTACAATACGCGGAGGCTTGACCGTGCTGTGCACCATTTAACTTTCATTCTGCACCGCTTGTCACGCCGATGGCGAATACTCGTTCAATCTTCTATAGAGTATCGCGTACGACTCTTCTTATCAATGCATATACATGATGTGATACTTCAGGAGAATCGAACGGCTCACTTACAATTTCCAAATAGCTCGCCGGAACAAAGTAACAATGCTAGAGTAGATTCGAATTCGAAGGGTTTTAGATAGATCTATCTGTGAAGAATCTATATTTCTTATGTAACTTTAGCGTATACTCCATCGGTCCTTTCCATTTGCAAAATAATGGTGGAAACGAATAGGAAAATCCAGATTTATGTAGTTCAATTTATGTGATTTTACGTCCACAGAAAAAGTTGAGGCAAGCAGTCCAACCTTTTAGTCGTGGTTGAGTCATTTCATTTCTTTGGCTTTAGTGAGCTTGTTCTAATATTAATGAATGCAAAATCACTGAAAAAATAAAACGAGGAACGATAAGGGATGCCAAATATTTACGTGGTTCGATCCGATTATAGGTACCTATATTTACGGAGAGAGCCGATAGCAAATAATCACTAATAATCAGAGAATCGGAGTTTGCGAATGCTAACACGCTCTAGTGTTTCTCACATCTATATTAAATCCAAACCCCCAAGTGTTTATAAATAAACAATTCATTGAATGTAAAACTCACAGCACAAAATCACTGTGCCAAGAATGTCATGCATTTTGGTCTCCTCTTCGAGCCGCTCTTCCCTTTGTCGAAGGAATGCACATCTGCTTCTTATTTCTTGACAGAGAAGAAGGCCCCATCTGTTTATGCTATCAAACTTGGATCTAGTCGGATTCCGTAACGGCTCAAATTCCAGACATAATTTTAACAGAGCCCATGTTTCTTTCGATAAGGTTCGAGTCAGGAGGGCGATCCTCCCAATGAACTGACCATACCCCAAACCGACACGGGTGAACAAGTGGAGCATACTAGAGCGCTTGAGACAACGATAACTTAATGGTGGATCGGACATCAATCGTAAACATTCGACGCGAACGGATCCATTTACGGTTCCAAAATAATTTCCCGAGAAAACAAGATCGAATTCGCACGGCAAAAGCGTTCACAGATGATAAAGATCGAGCCGTATGTCTCACGGAGTTTAACCCCATGACTTGATTCCATGAATTCCTTCAGTCAAAGAAAAACCCCCCATCCAATTCAATCCAATTCAAGACCACGAGGAAGTACCGATCGTGCGGGACTCTTTCTCGGTTTTTTGTCGCCTTGATTGGAGGAGGAAATTGTCGATCGAGTAATGAGTACTACTGATTTAACACGATGCTTTGATTTCTTAGAAGAGACGCTACGGACCGGCGGCCTTATTGGTGTAACTCTTTTGACCCGAATGGCTTAGTTTAGTTAAATTACGGTCGAGTCTCTCGAGTACCATTCTGTGGACAGCTGTTAAACCTTCTGCCGAACGAATTCATGAAGGCCGTCGAAGCTCCTATCGAACTAATTTATTTCGTTTTTCAACACTTGGATCTCATTTGTGTTGCCTCGTGTTTTCATGTATGGACTTAGTCGACAATTCGAAGATATCTTATATCAGAGCTGTCTACCACCCACTACCTAAAGTCAATGCCATTGATTAGAGCGAGTTGGTTATAGTCTATACATCGGTCCAAAGAAGAAATCATCACCTTATCTTAATAGTGGAAAAGTCAAGGATCACATCGTGCTATAGTCTCTGTAGATTTGTGTGAGGAAGGTAATCCATAGTATGGATCGGCTTTGGAGATTAGATTAGATTTATTTATTTTTTGGTCAAACGTGTGTTGAAAATTGAATTTTGGGTCTTGTTGGCCCAAATATAAAGTTCATAGGTGATGCTATTTCGGCCCACTAGAGTAAGCTCGACGAATGTCATAGGTCTGCATAAGCAATTGATGAACCTATTCGGCCACTTATTAGTTCTTTAGGCCCATGTCAGAATTCAAATCACCTGCAATTTTTTTCCTCGCTCCTTTCTTCTACGTACATATGATCGGTATATACGGAGATTGACCCTCCAACCTAGTACTCTCCCCCTCCCCTTCCAAATCCCTTTACCAGCAAGGCCACATGCCTGTTGGCCAAGTGCAATTTCACATGGCTGTCCTTCTGGTTGAAATCCGATATCTCATTTGGCATTTTTTTCCCATATGCAATTTCGTCCCGTAAATTATGCGGTAAATCTTAATGACTTTCGCAAATTATATACAATGGTCTCTAGACTTTAGAATTTTACGCAAGATGGTTGATTTAATTCGATGAAATTTCTCGTTCATTTTCATTCCTAGATCGAGAGGTTTAATGCTCTTTACTATACTGACATATAGTCCCTAACGAGATTCTACTCGAATATTCTTCTCAACAGCTTGAAAGGTTGATTACTAATGATATCGCCCTCTTCAAAGAACATAATGACAAATAATTTCGTGTTTGGGCCACCCACTCGGCGTATACAACTTGGATTTTTATCTTGTTAAGGAAGTTATTGAAGTATTTTACGAAGCCCGAATTTTTTTTTTATTTGCAATTTAAGGTGGATTTTCTCGGTCATTTTTGCCGGATGCGTTTCGATTGCGGGACATGCCATGTGCTGGAGAGGATCGCGAGCCCACCCGCCACGTGGCCAATCCAATTCGCATGGCGCACACTTGTCGAGGCCAGGGCACTTCTCAGTCCATGTGGTGGACCCACACCCGTACCCATTGGGCACAAGACTCCGTCCCAATAAATATTTTTTCTTTTTAGGAAAAGTCCAGTGAACCCGCTTTGGATTGACCTTTTTTAAGGTGAACCCATTATTCATAAGTAGCTAAGATCAATAAAAAGTAAAATATTAAGTGACGTGACATGTTGTGATTACATTTTAACGCAATTCATTATAGGATGAATACCGCAAAAAACCTAAAACCGATATATCTACGTGTGACATTTTGAATTTCGACCCACTTTCGAGATTTATGAAATGATATTATCATCAATGCACTTTCTGTTATATTTCACTCGGAATTGGCCATTCTTGAGAATACTAACCGTTAGGGAATGACTAGTTAAGATTTCGGTACACACGACCCAAGAACTCGAACCTGGATCGACACTTCGACCATAAGGATTGACGAGGGGATATTTTGGGCCATTATAGGCCGATCCAAGAATGATTATGGAACAATTTAACGATGTTATACAATTGAGTCATGGGTGATTCCGTTTAATCGTTGTATGCATTCCGAACGTTCCAAAATCAATTTCTAACGATCGTGTCATTCAGAACTAGTGATTGACCCTCGTAATTACATGACAACCGAAGTCACCATGGCTCGAGTAAACTTAAACGTGGATTGATATCAAATCAACCACGGGTCGACAAGCGTAAACCCTAAAAGCCGCCCGTTAGTTTGAGATACACGAAAGTCGCGTTTGATCGATTTTGGCCACGAATTGGAATCCGAACTTGAGTATCGAACTTTCAAGGATATCAAAATTATTATATTGGACGACGCCGCGTTAAGCTCGCTTTATTATCGGTTTGCTCAGAAATTCGCGAAAAAGGGAAATTTGGCTCGAAAATTGGAAAAGACGATTTTACCCCTATGTGTTCTAGAGTTTATTTGTTGAGTGGAAGGACATGTTGGTCTTTTTCCCTAGTGGCCGAAAATCCTCTTAGACAACTTTGCCCTTGCCCTTTTTGATTAATTACAAAATTGCCCTTCTAGAAACATTTTTGCAAGATTTAATCTTGGCCTTTGGATGGAACTTGGAGAGCAAGACTTGATCCTAGCCTTTAGATCTTTGCTTGGGCATCAAGAACACATCTCAACCCTTGATCTTGATTGAAGTTTCAGCCCTCTTTCTCTCTCTCCTCACTTTCTCTCTTGCTCTCTCTCTCTCTCTTCATTTTCTCTCATTCTCTCCCCCTTTTGGCCGTGAGCCTCACCACCACCCACCAGCACCTCAGCCCACGTCCCTTGGTCACCGTGGACCACCGTGAGCCGCCCCCAAGCTACCGTTCACGCCCGGATCAGCTGCCGTTCGCCAGATAGCCGTTTGGCCGCCGCCGTTCGCCGGAAATTCCAAATCTGGCCGTGACTTGCTGCTGCTGTTTGGGCTTGGTTTCTAGCTTAGATTAGTGGTAAGTAACTCCCTAAACCTTGATTAGGTTAGTAGGTTACCAATGGATAGTGTTTAGGGGTTGTTAGGGTAATTTAGGGGTTATTTTAGGGGTTATGGTAGATGCTGAATTAAGGATTTGTTGGTGGCTGGATTTGATGATTATATGGCTGATTTGAATGTTAAGATAGGTAGATTATGTGACTTGAGCTTGAGCATATGTTTAATGTTGCTAATTGTGCTTAATTTGGCTAATTATGATTGTTTAGTGGTTGTTTTAAGGGAAAAACCACCAAAAACCCCAAACTTTGCCATCTCAGGACACATTTACTCCCGAAATTTTTGTGACACCAAAACCCGAACTTTGCTTTTTAGTGACACATTTACCCCAATGTATTTAGTCCATGGGCATTTTCGTCTTTTTGCTTTTTCTTTTTTTTTTTCTTTTTTTCCTTTCCTGCGAGGGGGCCTCACCGATCCTGGTGAGGGCCGCCCATCGCCGGATCCGCGGCGGGGCCCTCGCCGGCTGCCGGGGCGAGGGGCGGCCCGCCGGCGCGGCGAGGTTCGCCCTCGCCTGGGCGAGCGAGGCGGCCCGCTCGACTCAGCGAGGTCGACCTCGCCAAACTGCCGGCGAGGGGCCGCCCTCGTCGCCTGTAGCGAGGGCGACCTCGCTGGCTGCCGGGCGACGTCCACTTCGCTCCGGGCGAGCGAGGCGGCCTCGCCGGCTGCCGGGCTGCCCTCGCCTGCTAGACGGCGAGTGGCGACCCTCGCGGCTGCCGAGCGAGGGTCGCCCTCGCCCGATCCGGGCGAGGGCCGCCTCGCTGCAGCTCCCGTGCGAGGCGGACCTCGATGCCGTGCGTACCAGCATGGCGGCGAGGGCAGGCTCGCCCGGGCACAGCGAGGGCAGGCCCTCGCCCGACTCTGCGAGGCTCGACCCTCGCCCGACGCCTGCGAGGGCCGCCTCGCCTTTCAGGGCGAGGGCGAACCTCGCTGACGCGCGGCTGGCGCCCCTCGCCGGATTCCGGGCGAGGGCCGCCCTCGCTGACGCCGGCGTAGGGCCCTCGCTGATCCGGATCCGGCAAGGAAGGGCACTCGCCTGGGGCTCACGGAAAGAAAAAAAAAGAAAAAGCAAAAAGAAAGACGAAAATGCCCATGGACTAAATACATTGGGGTAAATGTGTCACAAAAAGCAAAGTTCGGGGTTTTTGGTGTCACAAAAAAGTTCATGCAGAATGTGTCACGTATGGCAAAGTTTGGGGTTTTTGGTGTTTTTTCCTTGTTTTAATTAAATTCGTGGGTTAGTCTTGTGGCTACAATAATCATGTGATAGTGGCCGAATTGGATGATTTGGACATTGATCATATGGCCCCCATTGATTCTAGATTGGTTAATGTTAATTTTAGAGCTTAATTAACATGATTATGTGCTAATTTTGATGGTACGGTTTAGATTAAATTAGGATGTGATAAAATTTGATCATATGGCTTATTAGAGATTTGAAGTTGATCGTGTGACTTTGATTGATCATCGCATGGCTAATTAGTCGATTATGTGCCGATTAAATGTTTAATGACAATCGTGTGGTGGATTAGTTGTTTAATGCCGATCGCATGGTTAATTTATTTAATCATGGCTGAGTAGTTGACTACGGCTTGATCGAGTGGTTGGAATGATGATTTCGTGGCCTAGAACGAAGATCGTATGGTTGAAATTGATGTTTTATACGAAAACGAGTGCGATTCATGGCATATTTATTCGTAGTAAATTGCACGTCATAAACACTTGCATTGGCTAATTAAGGAAGATTAAAATTGGCAATGCGTGGTTGTTTACGTGTATGGCCGTGATGAGTTCCGTCTAAGACGAGTTCTAGACGATGCCCGGCGGAAGTTCGGATGCTGTCTGGTACCCGACTTGTCGGGGGGGTTCGATCCCAGATATTGCCGATCGCGGTGGAGGCCGGATCGGTGCTCCTAAATGGAATGTCGTCCGGTACCCGACTTGTCGGGGGGGTTCGATCCCGGATGTTGCCACGCCCAAAGTAGTGGGGTGATGCATGGCTATGCCGGAAGACCGACGGGAGTTCGGTGTGACCTATGGTGGGTCGTTAATAATCTGGATAACTTCGAGTGTTATGTGCATAAGGTACGCTTTGCGCTTGATTATGGGATAAAATCGTGAAGCACGGTATGGAACGGGCCGAAGTGATTTCATCTTATAATCGAAACTCGTGTGAATGATTGAGTATGTCTGGATTATTATTGTTGTTGTTATGCATATTGATAGTATGCCATGGTTGTGATGCAAATCGAGACTTTGCATTGTATGTAGTACCATTGTTTTTTTGATAGGAACTTACCCTATTGGTTAGAATTGCATGATTAGGGTGCCGGAGGTACGTATTGCCCTAGTCGAGGCTTAGGCAGTTTACTTATTGAGATTTTATCTCATTCCCCGTTGTTAAACATTTCAGTCCCCCGTCCTTGATTATGACTGAGCCTCCGCTACGTTTCGAGGTATCAACGGAAACGGAGCATTGGGTGACTGAGTACCCAGTTGGTGAGGATGGAGCACCGCCAGGATGCTGTGGAGGTTTTTGATAGGGTTAAAGATCCCTATCTTTTTGGAGCTCCTCTTTTGAATAGAGTAGTGGAGCAGATCGACCACCCTATCCCTTTTTGAGTATGCGTGGTCTGGGTTTGTGGCCTTTAGGAAGGCTTGTATATGTTATCGTTGTATGTGACGTTAAGTTTATAAAATGGTTTGTTAGTTTGTTTAAATTGTCTCTCTCTATTATCCCGTTTGAATGTTTGTTGAATAGAGTGTTCGTTTGGCTTCCGCGTATATTCTCTTATTCAATGGTAACGGGTCGGCGACGAATCCTGGGAGTCGCATTCTTAACAACCGCGGTGGAATGTTACGTGTTCGTAGGGTACGGGGCGTGACACTATGACAAATTTACCTCAAATTAATTATTTAATCACTAAAAACTCTAAACCGGTACCCATATAATAAATTTACTCCAAATTAATTTTTTGATAACAAAAAACCCCAAACTAGTATACTTGTGACAAATTTATCCTCCGTTAGTTTCTATTAAATTGAATTAAAATCACGAAAAATCACAAACTAGTATATCTGTGACAAAAGGAGGGTAAAACCTCAACGTGTTATCCAACTAGCAATTTGACAGTAAAATTTAATGAAAATTAATGGAAGGTATATTTATCACAAGTTTATCGGTTTGGAATTTTCGGTGGTCAAAAAATTAATTTGGAGTAAATTTATTACAGATGTACCATATTGGGAGTTTTCGTGATATTAATCATTTACAATAAGACATTTCGTTTAGCTTATCAATCTTGTAAATCCACCTTAATCTACCCCACGATATTTTAAAAAAAAAAAGCATTCAGGTGTTGGCCACGAATATATTCAAAAGTGGGTTGTTGAAGAATCACTCAAAAACTTTTATTAAGTCAAGCAAACTTATTGATCGCATTGCCACATGTCTGTCCTCAATTTGAAGGACTGAGAATCCCAACTAAACCTCACATTCAATTCGCAATTGATTGATTTTGGAGCCTATAAGAAAGGCCAATTGCATTCCATAAACGTGGTTCGAAACAAAACCTCCAATTAGGGAGGAAGAGCAATCATTTGACCCAAGAAAATCACATGAAGGCACCAAACATTAATGGTCTTTGGTCCCAACCCCACCTTTCAACGAGTGGGTCAAGTGCAAAACTAGTGAAGGAAAACGCAATGCCATCGCCAGCCTCTCAAGCTCGTGCATGCTTTCTCATGTTGCTGTCTTTGGGTGGTGGACGAGAAAGCGATTGGGGGGTCATTATCGGTGTTAGTTGTCTCTTTAATTATGACCCCCAACCTTTGTGGAGAGAAGAAGAGCACACATGCGCTGTCTTTGACATGTCTCGCGTTTCTTCACAAGGCAATGCAGTGTTATGATTAGTAGATCCGATGAGAGTTAACCGAGTTGAGTAATCGCGAAACGGGTATCCCCGACTACCTCTTGCTAAACTGTCTGGTGTTACTACTGCCGGGCCATGAACTAATCGATATGGTTAAGTGGAGAGAAATTATGGTGTATACCAAGTGCATGTACCACCAAACATAATGGTTTAATCTGGTAAGATGCAATAACTTAGCTTGAACTCAACATAGTGAGTTCGTGTGCACAAAAATATTTTTCTTGCATTACATGGTTACTGTAATTGCATTGCGCTCTCCAACGACACTCACCAGATTGAAGGGTCCCATTCCCACGTTGACTACAGTTTTCTGTTGGGAACCTCTTCCAAGCGCCACGTTATCGTTATGATCGTCCAGAAAGAGGCGAAATAGAAAGCTGGGAGTCACAGGAGGCATGCTAAAGAAAGCTCAGAGTCACAGGAGGAACGCTCATTGCTCTCTCTCTCTCTCTCTCTCTCTCTCTCTCTCTCTCTCTCTCATTTCAAGAACTTGTCCTTTGATAGTTTCTTCTGATAGTTGATCACAAAGCTTTGAAATTTGTTTGCGGTGAGAAAAAAAGAACAAAAAATAATCAAAGAAAGGGTCAAAATGATTTGGCGCGAGAATGTTGCTTCACCGGTCCTTATTTCTTGATTATGTTCTCAGTTTCGGATAAAATGAGGAAAGAACAACAAGATTTTGTGTGGGGCTTGCTTGGATTGAAGAAATTGTTGAAGGGTCGACCCCCATTGCTCAATCAAGTGGCGGAGCTTTCTTTTCTTTTTTCTCATCTTCTGTTTTCATTTACATTCTGGAGCTTTCCTGCATTATTGAGCTCCATAAAAACAGTTGATTTTGGTTAATTACTCAAACTTCATTTTCTATCGGACAAACCAAAACATTAATGAGTGGCAAGTTTCTGTCTATATCAGGCAGTGTCACTTTGATATGTCAATTTTAGAGAGCATGATATGAGTCCAGTTTAGTTTATATTGTAATGTAATTCTCTCTAACTCACAGACAGAGTCTGCCTTTTGTGGTTCTTACTTGCTGAAACTGCAACTCCTTTGTACCTCCAGTTATGGCAGTTGCTCAATTCACCAATGGACCTTGCTGGGGTGTGGCCGGTAAGGAAAGGGAAAGAAGGCCATTTGTGAATTTGGACCGCGAATTGCCCTTAAACAGATCGGAAGTCGCTCAAACTGGTGGCCACTCCTCGGTGAACAAGAGGAGGGTATCAACCTTCGGTGGCGTTTCTAGGCGCTGCCGGTCAATCAGTGATCAGCAAGCATTGGATTTTGAATTGCATACGGATCCTTATCTTGAAGATATCTCGGCGTCAACCAATGGAAGTGCACTGCATGAGTAAGGCTCAGTAGCTATAAATTATTACCTCTTTCTTTTGATCACTACATGCAATTGTTCCCTCTTTTCATTAGTTTCCGCACCCAACACTTCGTTGCCAAAGCACTTCTTGCAATGTGCTAATCCTATTTCATGATTTTTGGACATGTATCAACGATTACTTGCTTTGGTTATGGTAATACTACTTGCTCTGGTCTCTAATGTGACCTTGACATGACAAAGTCCTCTCTTTTTCGTCTGGCCATGAAGGGTTATCCCATTCAAAAAGCCAAATTTGAAATTATTGGGTAGATTTTACCGTATTTTAGGTCGCGATGGGGTAGATTTCAGAAACACAAAGGCATGTCAACTTAATCCGAGTAAAAGAAAGTCGTGTCCGACTTCACTGTATTTGGTGAGCACCTGACCCTGTATTTGCTTTGGGTGTCATTTTTGGACAAACAGGTGCCGCCATATGATTCTTTATCACCTGAATTTTTCATATGACTGGTTTTCCACTCACTGTGTCATCGATTCCTGCAGTGAGTCGACACAACATTCAAAAGACTCCCAAAATCTCCAGACTGAGCTGATAATGCTCTCTTTACCTGCAATTGCTGGACAAGCGATTGAGCCTTTAGCACAATTGATGGAAACAGCTTACGTCGGTAGACTTGGTACATCCTTGCTCTTACTTGGATGGTTTTGTCTGTTAAGCTAAGCATAGTTTCATGTTAGTGCCTGGCACTCTTCAAATATGTGCCTCCTGGGAGTCTTACCAGCAGGATAGATATTATTGGTCATAGAAAGTTGGGACACTGTACTTAATAGCTACATCTTCAAAACTTATAGAGTTACTAGTCCTTGTGCTTTATATTAAACATCAGAGGTGCTTCCTGCTTATACATTTTGTCAAATCAGTTTCATAATATTATCCTTTCTTCTCTCAGTTTTCTCTTCCCTTTGAATTGAACTTGCATCAATAAATTTTCCAAGCAAAGATTTTAACCTGATATTACTTGCTTAAAATCTCACTCGTGTTCTGATGAAAAGGACCTCTGGAGTTAGCATCAGCGGGCGTTTCGATGTCGATCTTCAACATCGTGTCTAAGGTCTTTAATATTCCTCTCCTAAGTGTTGCAACTTCATTTGTGGCTGAAGACATTTCAAGGAGTGCAGGCAACAATTCAGCTCCAGGTAAGTACCCTCTCACCAGAAAAGAGAGATTGATATAGCTGGAAATTCAGTTGCACGCTCAGTTCGAATTTCCCGATGCGCAGGTGGTCAGCATCAAAACGGAACCTATGAAAGGAAGGAGCTGCCTTCAGTATCTACTGCCTTATTATTAGCTCTAGCAATTGGTGTCTTTGAGGCACTGGCTTTGCACTTCGGCTCGGGATTGTTTCTCGACATGATGGGCATATCATCAGTGAGTGGAACTTTCTCGGTCATCGATACTCACATTGACACTCAGAGTAGGTCTCTGGTTCCAAATGGCACCTGAGTCTTCTATTCTGTGTTCAATGTCTTTGCTCTTTGACTAGTGTCGGCATTTAAAAGCTTTTACATTTTGAACAGGGTTCGTCTATGCGAGTACCAGCGGAACACTTTCTCAAATTAAGAGCTATCGGTGCTCCGGCTGTCGTCGTGTATTTGGCCGTTCAGGGCATATTTCGTGGCTTCAAGGATACAAAAACGCCCATTCTGTCTCTAGGCAAGGATTTGGTTTACCGTCTGAAATTAAATTGAAAAAAAGATAATGGAGGTCATTTATAACATTTTGAATTTTCTGGACCGATCAGAATGTGAATATGTGTGAGCATTTAAATCACAGCAGCGAGATCTTGAAATGATTCATTATTGACAACCAATCAAAATCTCATTTGTTATGCTTTTATCAATTTCCATCTCACTCACTGATGTGGAACTCTTATCAACAGGTTTGGGCAACTTTTCTGCTGTATTCTTCTTTCCAATGTTCATGTACTATTTCCGCTTCGGTGTGACCGGTGCTGCCATTTCTACAGTTTTGTCTCAGTATGTAACTCTTTCTATTACTGCCTAGACTTCTTACTCATATATCGCGTAAATGACCATGCTGAGATTCTTTTTCTGCAGATACATTGTTGCCTTTTTTATGATTTGGCATCTTAACAAGAGGACTGTCTTGTCACTTCCTAATGCACACAATTTGCATTTTGGCGACTACCTGAAATCTGGTGAGTGGATCCTCACATTGACTCCGATATTTCTCCTGGGATAACTATTGTCTTACAGTCTTGCAAGAGAAACATCATTACCTCCTGACTCATTGCACAGACATCTGATGTGTGGATCAAAATGTACTCCTTGATGCTTTGCCTTGTAATCACCTTGTTGCTTCTATAAGTACTCGTTCTATAGCACAAGTACATTGTCATTAATAAGAGTAATCAAAGAAAGATGTTCTAAGTTTCTAACCAATGAGCCATTTTGCTCAGGCGGCTTTCTTCTAGGTAGAACTATAGCTGCTGTGATGACCATAACTTTGAGCACATCTATGGCTGCTCGTCAGGGAGCATTAGCCATGGCTGCACATCAGATATGCTTGCAAGTCTGGTTATCTGTTTCCCTCCTTGTCGATGCTCAAGCAGCAGCAGGCCAGGTAACCGATCTTCAACAATGTCTTATCTGAAGTTGGAATGCTAACCAAGTTTTCCACGTTTTCCCTCATTCATAAATGAGTCTCTTTCCTGATAAATATGCATGCCGATTATGGGAAGTTAGTTTATGTGGATACCATATTTTTCTGTTCATTCAAAATTACCTCTCGGTGTTCAATAGGCCTCCCCAAAACAGATTGTACATTTCAGTTTGGCTTTGGATAAGTGATTCCCTTCTTCAGGAAGGATTGAAAGGAAAAAAAATTTGAGGACCTTTAACTCAACCTAATATCTAGCTGCAACTTCTAAGATGGTGAATTCCCTTTATCCTGAAAAACAACTCATCCTTTGAGCAATTCTAAGCTGGAAAAAATGTTCCGGACTCACTCATCTACCTTGTATGTTATCCAATTGATTAATTGGATGGAATAAGCGCACTAAAAGTTCTTAAACTTGTAAACTAACGGAAATACTTGATCGCCCTTTTCGGATAACTTTTAAGACTTGATTGCACATTTTGAAAGCGTCGGGACTTGATTGTATGTTTTGAAAACTTTAAGATTTGGTTGCAGTTTTGCTACGAGTTTTAGGACTTTTGATGCATTTCTCCCTTTGGATTTGTAGTTCTTTCTTAATCTTACTCAAGCTCATTGTTGTTAACTTTGAAATGAATCTCCCCTTTTATATTGATGTCTTCCTTTTTACCAGAACGGTGAGCATACTAAGATATTATACTGAATCATCTGCTAAATCTGGTTCCTTTCTTAGGCTATGATTGCGAGTTCATTTGCAAAAGGTGACTATAGCACTGTAAAGAAAATTGCATTCTTCGCTATTAAGGTAACATATTTGGACAGATTACCAGATTGTGGTTTCTACCTTGTACTTAACCTAGATTTGATTTCCTTTTTAGGCTTTCATGTTTCATGACTTATAGTAAGTTTTCTCCAGACAGGACTAATTACCGGTGTGTCCCTAGCTCTGTTGTTGGGGTTGTCATTTAATGCTTTAGCAACTTTGTTCACCAAGGACGCACAAGTACTACAAATTGTTGGATCAGGCTTATTGGTAAGCTCCCTGACTAATTTTCGCTCTTCTGGGATTTTTGTTTAAAATTAGCTTTTCTTTTCAGTTATATTGATTCTAACTCAATCTATGTTTTGACCCAAAAAAACTCAATCTATGTAGTTTGTAAGCGCCAGCCAACCGATCAATGCTCTGGCTTATATTTTTGACGGTCTCCATTACGGTGTGTCGGACTTCTCATACGCAGCTTGGTCTATGGTAAATAAGTCTCACCTAGCAAATTGCATGTCCGAGATCTGAATTGGTTGTTCTCACGCTATTTATTTAGCACGTCTTCTGATAAGTACACCAATGATGGGCAGATGGCCGTGGGTGCATTATCTTCTGTGTTTTTGCTCTACGCTCCATCCATTGTCGGTCTTTCGGGAGTCTGGTCTGGATTAACTCTTTTCATGGGCTTGCGCACATTAGCCGGATATGCAAGGTGCGGAGTGCATTTTCCCTTTGCTTTTATTCTTTCTCCACTATTTGTTAGCAGTAGCATTCTTTAGCATCTCTAATCCATGTTCCACTCTGCTTTTGCCCATCTCTGGCTTTCGTGTTATATTCAAGAGGTCGTGCCGCTTCCCATCAAATGGACATTTATTCTCGTTTCACCTACTATTTGTTCCTCTTGATGCATCACATTATATCTAGTTGTGACATTATTCGGCAATCAATGCTTATAAGATCTGACAAAATTGTGCCGTGCATTATTAGATTAAGCTCAAAGGAAGGTCCATGGAAATTTTTGCACGGAGACGCCTATAAGTTGCAGGTGGGTGGTAAAACTTTCATTCTTAATGATTCTATTTTCATAGTCCATTATGGTAATGTTTCTTCAACGATCAATGTTCTGTATGTGCTGTCATGTGATACTATCCTTAGCTTATGAATTAAAGAAAGTTTGACATCTGAAAGCATTAATCAGTGAAAATGCTGTTAACATCAGATTACAGATATCGCCGACTAAGCAGTTTAATTTTTTGAGCAATTTCTTTTCCATCATCGAAACTTCTGTTAAGTATACGCTATCTTGAATACGCCCAATACTAACATATTACATGTTCCGTCGAGGATTAGCTTAACCTCTCGATTCGCTTCCTTGTGCAGGTTGCCATTTGAGATGAGAATCAGGAGGAGACCTGTATTGGCTTCGTTTTCGTTCGCCAAGTTTCTTCTTGGTTCCAATGGAGTCACACCACCGTTCACACTATGCGTGGCTCTTGTATAGTTTATATATAGTTCTTGTACTCAACTCTTCGTACCGGATGAGTTCGCCACTCCTGCAGCATTTGAAACACGCTTAGTAACATCGGTAAGGCCTCAATATGTCTCAATTCTCTCCCCGAATTACTATCATCATTGACTATTGTTGCTTTGAATGTCTGTGCTAATTAGATGCTATGTAGTCTGTGAATTTACGTTACAATTGTCGTGGACAGAGAGATTTCGCGTATGCATCTACTTTGGAATGACAAATCCTAGGTCTCTGCTTTTCTTTGCTCTTTTGTTTTTTGGGCTAATTGAGGAAAACCCGAGATTAGCATTTGGGTCCAAATTTCGCAAATCTCGATTAGTATCCGGTTGCAAATATGATTCCGAAGAATTCAGAGAAGGAAAAATCATGGTGTAGAAATCATCTATTGCAAGTGTATCTTCGACCAGCAGACAGCTTTACTCATGAATCGAAAAACCAAAAGAACATCACAATTGGATCATAGAGACGACCCAAAACGAACTTGTGTTGGGGAGAAAGAATCAATTTCTAAGAGCAGACACGGCTCTTGCGAGAGACGATTGCGACAACTGAGAACGTAAACAGAAGTCAGACGAAACATTGCAGGCATAAGCTACAACATTTTGCTTGCCGTCTCTTCTAACTCCGAAACATCGACTTTGTCCGACACCAAGTCACCAAGTCCTCATCGCAACCATGTCCGAGTCAAGACCCGACTCATGATCCATCACAAGTGGTCGCAAATTACTATGATCCTCAGTTGTCAATAATAACAAGCGGAAACAAGATTGGTTTTGAACATTTTGTGTCTTTGGATTAGATGATCACTCACTCGACTCCATCGCATAGTTAATTTCTCACGAGGTTGGCACTACGAATGAGACATCAATGGTGACAGAGTATTCCAAGCTCGATGAAGAAGCAACAGAAGCCATTGCATTGACTTTCACCTTGTATGTATGGATCTCCACTTCGGAGAATGACGTAGCCCTTCCACATTCTTGAACCCAAAACTCCTACAAACTTTCCCTCACGAGTCCATGAAAGTGAAACTCTTCGGTCTGCACCAGACCGTGTCCGAGTCAAGAACCGACTCACCTAGAAGCAAAAAAAGCTCGCTGAAGGCCCCGGCTCGCTCTCTGTCAAATCTAGGCTCCCATTTTAGCAGCCATGGTTCTACACCAACATGAGTCCTTTGACCAGCTCCAACGACAGGATAGGTCGCTGCTCCAAGAGTGAACAATCACATGCTGCGCGGCACCATGACGGGTTGGGCACGGCGCATGTTTAGGTCTTGAAAATGTCTGCACATGACCCGCCGTCGCAAACCATTCATGTAGGGTGCAAAGATGGGTGGATAAAGCGAGTCGAGGTGAGTGACTCGGGAGGCGACCCGGTGGTGGAGGACTGGGTGGGGGCGGCCACCCGGCATGGCCCTTGGACACTATGGCGTGCTCATTGTGTGCGGCTCCTACGAGATTGGTACCGATTTTGTTAGACAGCAATCACACATTGGAACTACACTAGGTATAAACTGCTTCAGTAAATCAATTTGTCTTAACATTCTTTGTTGGAGGTCCAAAATATTATGAATTATTCGAGGAAATTATTGAAGACAATAGTCCAATAAAAAGATTATTTTTTTCCCCAAGAAATGTCCCAATCAATAGACATGATCGGTATGGCTAGTGAGCTCTACTTCACCGATCTGTCAATCACTCAATTAAAATAATCCGCCGGCCATTTGGGCCCGACAATGACACGAATCCGACAGTCGTCGGAGCAGATATTAAGGTATCGAAGCAAAATGCGATTAATTTGGTTCTGAGCCCAACGTCGTAAGCAAAGCACGAAGATCGAGAGCTTGTTTGCATCCATCTATCACTTATTAATAATTTTTAGTCCATTTCTTCCACTAAAAATTTGAAAATAATAATTCTGCTTAAATTTTCAAGAAATGGTTAAAAAAAAAAGCATGGTGTGGACACTTGCCAAGCAACTAAATAAAAAAAAAATACTGCAATTTTCGATGCAATGGCGGCTCTAGTAATACACGCAATCAACTGTTTAAAAATGCAATGTTTCTTTGTTAAGTATCTTTTACAAAATTTAATGAAAAGTTCGGATTGATTCTGAACAACATTTAAACATTTTAAAAGACTTTAAGCCACTCGAATTATGTAATATTTGGATTTTTAAAAAAAACAAAAGGGTTGAAAAGTCAATAAATAAGCTACAGTGAACTTCAGTTTATATACGGGACCGAGAGCTTGCGGGGAGAGAGGAAAAGAAGGAAAGGAAAGAAAGAGGAAAGAAGAGGAAGAAAGGGAAAGAGAAAGAAGGGGGTTTCGCACGCACCCGTCACGGACGACTCATCAAGCTGATTTAACTTCGATTCGCAACGTCCGATAAGTGCTCATGCCTCTCGTTCATCCAATCGGAAAAGTTTTTCGGGTTAGGGCTCATATTTCGGAGTTATGTGATATTTGAGCGGCGAAGTTTGATTTTTGAGTTGTTAAGCTATGAATATATATAAAAATGGTAGTTTAGGGTGTTGTGGGGTTGTAAGATTTTATGGAACTCGATTTGGACTTACGGTTTGCCAAATACAAATTTTTGAAGTTGCGCGAGCGTGGTGAACAATGCACGACCAGCGGCTTTTAGGCCGATTTTCGTCGGTTTTCAGCCCGATTTTAGGATGGCCAAGCTAGGGTTCTTGTAGTTCTTTGAATGTGCTTTCTTTTGACTATAAATTTACTTAGAATGGGGTTCGGTGGAGAGAGTTATGGCACGATCGAGTTTCGCACTCAAGCTCGCGGACGGCTTGGATAATCGCTTTGGATGAGCGATTTGTGAGCGCCTTTGAATCGTTTTGTTAGCTTCTAAGCCTAGTTTAGCTGAGTCGCACTTGAAGTAGCTTTTTACTCGATTTTAACGTTGTTTCTCGCTTATTTGATAGGATTGCGAGTTCAACGGTTCAAGTGATATTTGTTGTTTAATTGTAGGCATTCCCAGGTGAGTGGTACTATCTCTTCTATGAATTTATAAATTCATGTTTTGAAAGTGATAAAGATTTGAGTATCGTATGGATTATGAAAGCATGTTTGTTGTATAAAAGTTTGGATCGGATAATTACTACCATTTTGTATTTGAAAAAGATTTGAAAATGGTTTTACAAAAGGTATTGTTAAAGGATATATGTGTACTACTTTGCGAACTGATTTATGAAATGAGTTCTGAAATGACATGAGAATGCTTTACGAAAAGTATTTCTAGCGAATGAGCTGAGTTATGAAAGGTTACGTGTTGGTTTGTGAAATGTATTTCGTTTGTTGTATGGGGTAAAAGATTATATGTTTTGGTTTGTAAAACCATTTTCTGATATTGATTATAAATTGGATTTTTGGTATTGGAGGATGATGATTTGATGCTCAATATTGCCCAGAGCCCATTGAGAGGCTTGTGGATATGCGCAGTGCGGTTGCGACTCAAAAAGGATAATATCGGGTCGAGGTGTGGGATGACAGTGCGGCTGCGTCTCTACCCCGAACGAGGCCTTTTATGATGAGATTAATCAATAAAATAGATCATTGATACGTGAGTTATTAAGATTAATCAATGGACTTGACCATTGATGTTTGAATTGAGATGATGATTTAAAATGAGTATTTTCTGAATTGTAAATGAAACAATCGGTATATGATTTGATATGTATATTAAAGAGTTGGATTATGAGTTTCTGGTATTGCTCTATACTTATACATATGCATAATGGCTACTCGATTTCGCTTATAAGAAATACGCACTACTTATGAAACGCGATCGCTTCATCCCTTTCTTTTCCCAATCTTTTCAGTGCTCTCGATTAGAAATAAAGAGAAAGAATATCGTAGAAGGACTTTTAGGAGTTTGTTCTTTGATTGTGATTTCAGGCCGCGTCCTTTGGGTGGAAGGACGTCCTTGTCATCCTCCGTTCTAGTAAGTTTCGGACCGTGACAAATTAGATATAACAATTTTCATAAAAAGAAAAGTTAGTCACCTCGCGTGCGTCCCGAGGTCTTCGAGGATCAAGACATGTCCGACGTCGACGGAGACACGTGCGGAGGCGAAGTATCATAAGACGAAAACCCAACAAACATTCAAAGACAAAGTAGTCATATTTTAAGATATGATGCCCAAAGCGATGGGGCCACCTTTGCGTTTGACAAATACTTCACCTCCTCGACCTCTGAACTGAAGTGAAGAAAAACGAAGAGCCATTTCTCGATTCCCTCGCCGATCTTTATACCCGCAAAAACAGCCACCGCAAACTTCCCATCATCGCCGCACACATGTCCGAGTCAAGAACCGACTCGCCGGCGCCGCCGCCGCCATCCAAAACCTCGCTAAAGCCCTCACTCGCAGTCTCTCTCCTATCAATCTTGGCTCCGATTCTGGCAGTCGCGATCCTGTACCGACAAGAGCCCTTCGACCCGGCTCCGCTGCCCGTCCACGAGCAATCCGGGTCGGTCGCCGCCCCCCGAGAGAACGGCCGCATGCTGCGCGGCGCGGAGATGGTCGGGGCCGGGCGGATGGTGGGGCCCGAGGACGTGGCGTACGACTCGGCGTCGGAAGTCATTTATGTGGGCTGTGCAGACGGGTGGGTAAAGCGGGTCAAGGTTGGCGACTCGGGCAGCGACTCCACGGTGGAGGACTGGGTCAACACTGGCGGGAGGCCGCTCGGCCTCGCCCTCGGGCGCGACGGAGAGGTTATTGTCTGCGACGCCAACAAGGTCAGTATCAACCGTCTATGCTTGTGAGATTATTAAACTATCGGATAATGCCTGGTTTAATACGTCAATACTCTAATTTTCTCCCTCACAATTGAAAGTGTAAAATAGGAGAGACAAATAGGGGTCTTGAAATATTTAATTCTAGAACATTTTGCTTTGATATTATGCGAGATTTTGCGGGACTATAGGTAACTGTTCTAAAGAATTTACCGTTAAGCAAAGACTTATTTTAATATTTAAATATATTGATATTATCAAAGGGCGATCTTTGCAAGATGATTTTGTCATTAAAGTAGCCAGACTTGCACAAAAATGGAGGATCATAATCATCCTTGGAGCGCCCAACAAATAGAAACTGAAATTTTCTTTGAAGATTGGAGCTACTATAGGATATTCATTCTGTAGTGTAAAGTTGAGCCACAAATTTCTTTCGACCATAAGTCTCCTCTAATTTTAAATTTACAACTCATTTTTAGAATATACGTGAGAAAATCACTAAGACTATGTACATCAAATTTGGCTGAGCACTTGTTAAACAACTACATATAATCTGCCTTGGAAATCGAAGTATTTATTATAAATAATTATTAATAAGTGTCTTAAAAGCAGTCATCAACATGGGCCATACAAATTCTACGGAGGCAAATATAGAAACAGAAGCAAGAGTTAATTGGTTTTTTTTAGGAGCATCGAGTAACAAGTCAAATGAATGTTTCGAGATTGGTGTCGAGACAAGGTTTTAGGAATTTCTTTGGATCCAAAAGTCAAGACAATTGAAAACCGTTAACTAACTCAAAAGAGAGATGAATTTTAGCCAAAAAGAAGATAGCAAAAAAGAATTACAAAGATAAATTAAATGGGTAGATTGCCCCTTTAATTCTTTTACGTAAGGGCAATTAGGGAAGGTTACTTTGATTATATATATATATGATTGCCCCTTTAATTTTTCGCTATCATAATTGTCTATTTGATTCTTTTTCGTCATGACTATCTTTTTTACACATTATGGAAAACTGTAATGCAATGGAAACTATAGCTAATTTTTGTTTTGACAACCACACAAATGCATGCATCAAGTCAAGCATACTTTGTTGTATTTGTCCTGTAATTCATTTCATTGCTAGAACATTTCATGACCGAAAAAAGTAATCATTCTTAGAAATGAGTAAAAAGTCGAAATTAATGAATTGTCTTTGTGTGGCATTTTGTCCCAAAAAAGTAACCATTTATATAGAGAATTAGGACTTTCGAATGACATGCATTAGTATTGAAACTGTCATATGCAACAGGGGCTACTGAATGTGAGCAAACATGGAACCGTGGAGCTACTGACGAATGAGGCGGAAGGCCTGAAGTTCAAACTCACGGACGCCGCAGCCGTGGCCCGTGACGGGACGATATACTTCACCGATGCCTCATACAAGTACACCTTGGAAGAGGTCATTTGGGACTTACTGGAGGGTCGGCCGCACGGAAGGTTCTTGAGCTACGACCCGGCGACCAAAGAGACTAAAGTGCTAGCTCGGGATCTCTACTTTCCCAACGGCGTCGCTCTCTCACCCGACCAAAGTTTCGTGATCTTCTGCGAAACTGTCATGTGAGTTCAGTGTGATGTTCACAAAGACTTCTTTAGCCAAAATCCTCGGAGACTTATGAGTTATAAACTATGGATAAGATCAAGTGAGTCTTCTTCTTTTTCTTTGTTTTGGGTTCTTTAGGAGGTGGTGTAAGAGGTACTATATAAATGGCGAGCGAACGGGACATATCGACACATTCATCGACCGTTTGCCAGGTTATCCGGACAACATCAGATACGATGGAGAAGGCCATTACTGGATTGCGCTGTACACGGTGAGTAGATCATCGTCAACTTCATGTATTCTTTGCAATTATCAGTGCTTCAACTTGCACGCTTCATTGGAGGAGCTTCTTTTATCAACGCAACACACATGAAATTCTAAGAATCAGGGCATTGAATCTCTTATAATCGTCGACAAGTCAAAGACGATGCTCGACACTGCTGAACTCATATCATGTATCAACCCCATGAACCCTGTTGAGGTTTTTGCGATTCACTCGCAAAGGATTACTTCTGTACCGAGCGAATGCAGGCCGAATTCCACAGCCGTTTTTGTGCCCACTTGAGTCATATGTTCGACCAATTATGAATATGCATTACGCACTGTATCTTCATTCACGTAACATAAGAATTTTTTTCGCAGGGAAACTCAATGTTCAACGAGTTGCTGTTGAAGTATCCATTCATACGAAAAGGAGCTGCCATCTTGGAGAGATTCAACAGACGACCGGCGATGGAGAAGAACAGTGGCGTTTTTCAAGTCGATTTGGAGGGAAAACCGGTCGCGCATTACTATGATCCTCAGCTGTCATTCATATCGAGTGGGAACAAGATTGGTGAGTACTTGTATTGTGGCTCCCTCCACCAGCCTTACATCCTTCGCCTCAAGTTAGATTAGAGGCTTCTTGTTGTGTAATGTGATTAAGCAACCACCGTCATTATGTTTTTATTAAACTGTGCTTGATTTGGATGAGGTTTTGCTTTCTTCCTTCTGGTGTCATGCAAATAATGCATGTTGGATGATTGGTAGTGACAGAGGAAACTGGTAAGTCCGACCAGACTCGTAAATGTGCAAACATACGCGCGCAAAAGGAGGCAAAACTCCGATATTGATTACCCCACCCAAACTCTTCGAGATCCTCTCGATCTGAATATGAAGTCTCCGGTTAAACAAGACGCAGAGCACCGGCAGCCACGGGCTGGATTTGTCACGGCGCCGCTTCATTGTCCCTATTAAAATATATCACGAGTTTGAGCTCCTTGTACATTTTTGCTATTTGAATTTTCTTGGATAGTGATTCTTCGTAATATTCAAAAGTGAATTGTTGAAGATAAACCTACAAGTTTGACCTTGAAGTTACGTGGCAAAATGACACAAACAATCCCTGAACTTTGCCCCAATGTACAATTTGATCTCTAAACTTTTAATATGTTCAATGCAGTCCCTGAACTTTAACCCAATGTGCAATGTGATCCATGAACTTCTAATTTGTTCAATATCATTCATAAACTTTTGGTACATGTTGAATTCAATCCTTGAACTATATAAAAATGTTCAATGCAGTCATTTCCATTAATTCAAGTTCAGGGACTATATTGAACATTTTCATATAGTTTATGAACTGAATTAAATATGTACTAAAAATTCATGGATGACATTGAAAAAATTAAAAGTTCATAGACCATATTGAAAATTGGCCTAAAGTTCAGGGATTATATTGAAGAAATTAAAAGTTTAGAAATCAAATTATATATTAAGTTAAAGTTCGGGGACTATTTGTGTTATTATCCCAAGTTACGGGACTATTTGTGTTATTATCTCAAGTTACGTATGCTCGCCACAAGGCTGAATATTTGGTGGGTCCCAATCCTAAAAGAAAGGGCATAATTCCCTAAAAAATCCTCAATTTTATGTCAAGTCTCAAATTTGCTCCGAACTTTTTTTTGTCTAAGAAAAAACTCCAAACTTTAGGTCCAATCCCAAATCTGCCCCGAACTTTTATTTTACGTAAAAAAAAATCACCAAAATTCAATTTATCTTCGAAAATATATCCCGGTGATTCAGTCCTAACTTGACGTGGCACTTTCACGTCGATAATAAATTCACATCTGCAAAGTAATGGGGTTTTTTTTGTAGAAAAAGAAAAGTTATGAGCAAATTTGGACTGAACCTAAAAATTATGTTTTTATTTTTAAATTAAAAAAAATTTGGGGTGGATTTGTTATAGTCTCTAATTTTCATATCCTAGAATGGTTTTATTTTGGAGAATTTCAACAATTTTTATTTGGTTTGATTTGTTATCAAAGTAGAAATGTGACACCGGTCTGTATTTATCGCCCAATTACTTTGCTGATGTGGATTTGTTATGACGTGAAAGTGCCACGTCAAGTTAGAACTGGATCACCGTGGTATATTTTTGAAAATAATTGAATTTTGATGATTTTTTTACATAAAATAAAATTCTGAGTAGATTTGAGACTGGACTTAAAGTTTGGAGTTTTTTCTGAGATAAAAAAAACTTCGGTGTAGATTTGAAATTTGACCTAAAATTGGGGGTTTTTAAGGGAATTCACCCTAAAAGAAAGTCTCCCAATCCCAATCCTAAAAGAAAGTCTTTGTCAGACGAAAGATTAATAAAATAAAAATAAAAGAAAGGAGAGATGAAGACTTGGACTTTCTATGTTGCTGGAAAGGAAAAGCGAAGATAGCTACTAAGGGTGAGAATGGTCTGGATTAGGCCGATCTAACACCTAATTCTGGGATCAATTCATACAATATTGGTTCCCAATTTTTGGGATTGAGGACCAATCCTATTGAGCTTGGGACCGAGGACTGGACCGACCCTATGCGTTTGGTCTGATTCCAGGATCAACCCGGGATCAATCGATTTTTTTTATGTTTCATTTTTTTTATTCGTTGAAAGGACAAACAGTACACTTTGAAAATACATATCCATCGACAATGCAATATTGAGTAACCAAACTATGGACCCTAGTACAAATCAAATAAAAATTTAAGATAACGCAACAATAAAAATCTTCACTTAGCAGTATACGAACACGTGAAATAAAATTAAAAAATAAAATGGTCAAAATACATAACATAAACCATGAATTATACAATTTCATATCTTGTTCATTCTCAAAAGATTACTTCAATTTCTGAACACTTGAAAACAAAACAAACAACTTCATATCTTGTTCGTGAGACGCCGAGGAGGGCCAAGTGAGGCAACCTGTGTTCGCCATTCGTGAGGGGTCAAGACGGGCCAAGAGAGGCAAGTTGGTTCGTGAGGCAAGCGAGGAGAGGCAGATCTAGCAAACAACTACAGAAAAGCAAGGGAAAAAGAGAGACGACGCTCAATAGTCAATAGGATTTCTATTTTCAACGCCAGAAGAAAATGAGGGAGGGCCTTAGGTTCTTTGGAAAACAAACAAACAAATATATATATACATATATAGGGTTGGTCCAGGTTGGACCAACTCTAAACTCCTAGGATCGAGGACCAATCCACACAGTACAGGATCTAGAGATCCCAGGATCAAGAACCAATCCAGTCCCCTTGGGAACCGGATCAGGACCGGCCGGGTTGGGTCTATCCAGAGTCGGTCTAGGGTCAACCGTTGACTCTGAACTGTTGCTCACCCCTAGTCGCTACAAAAAAGGTGGGGCGCAAGGGTTTCATATAAGAGGAAAAGAAATCGTGGGTTGTTCTTTTGAGCCACAGAGCTGCCTTTGAATTCCGAGAAAGAGCCAAACAGTGAAGGTCTTTGGGTTTTCCTTCAATAGAGCCGAGTCGCATGGGATTCTTGAAGCGCCGTTTTTAAGCAGGTGCTTGCCGTGGTTTATTATTACATCCATGAAGTTAGTGTTGAGGCCAATTGAATTTTGTGGTAAGATTTGTGTTAAATTCTTTCGTGAGATTGAGAGATTATTTTTTGAAAAATTATGGGGCTAAACACTACAGAAGTTATTGGATGTAATTGAGACTTGGAAAGCACTAAAAGTGTTTGAGTATCTCAAATGTAATTGTAATCTCCGTTATATCGCTTGATTTACAGTGGAATTCGTTGGTGATCTCCCCGTGAATGTATATCACTACGATCGAACCATGTAAATCTGGTATCCGATTTATTTTCAATTTATTATTCGATCGATTGGCTTTTGCAACAGTCTCCCGTCCAGGTTTCTCTCCGGTCTTTAGGCACCAAGTTCAGCTTGCTACTGCGTTCAAAGTCCGCTGCATCCCATCCATAGCCCTGCTACATCCCATCCTATCATTGCTTCGGGTTCTCTTGAGATGCTTCGAGATGACGAACTACTGCCCACAAATTAAGACTGCGCCCCCCGATCTTTATCAAACGAGACAGTCGCTGCCATTGCCGTTGTTACTAGGCATCAGCTTCCCACAATCCTCCATGCTTTTGATACTAACTAATTAACAAAGGAAATAGATAGGCACGAGTAAACTCACAAAGATACACGCGATACGTAAAAGCACAAAGTGCACTAAGATAAATCTCTCAATTTTCTATATGTCGGAAAAGTCCTAATCGTAAGAATTTCTTCACATTATAAGAAAGTTGCGATCCGTTGCAATCGGGTAAAAGAGCGACACCAACCTCAAATAAGAAAACATTACGATTTTTTATCAAATAACAGCCATCCAAATACACGAGAGACATTTCAAAGCAATACGAGAGGAGTAAACGTACGATGTCAGTGAATATTGAAATTTTTCATAATTCGAATTCGAGCGATAAAGTTCACGAAGTTCGTCGCATCACTGTACGTCCCGCAGATTTCAAGGCTCGAGGACATGTTCGGCGTTGACCGTAGCGATCTCACGGCCGAAGCAGTGACGTGGCTCGTGGATGGACAGAGACATGGACGGTGGCCAAAAACCCAAACACGTGACGATACAATGTAATCATATTCTAAAGATTTGTTGCCCAAAGTGATAAGAGCCGCGTCAGCGTTAACGACTACTTCGCTTCGCCTCTGAACCGAAGTGAAGAAAGACGACGATCCATTTCCCGATTCCCTCGCCAAAACATCCACCGCGAACCTCTCTTCATCGCCGCAGACATGTCCGAGTCAAGAACCGACTCGCCGCCGCCACCGCCGCCGCCGCCGCCAACCAAATCCTCGCTGAAGCCTTCACTCGCGGTCGCTCTCCTATCAGTCTTGGCTCCAATTCTTGCAGCCGCGATCCTGTACCGGCGTGAGCCCTTCGACCCGGCTCCGATGCCCATCCACGACCTGTCCAGGCCTGTCGCCGCCCCGCGGGAGAACGGCCGCATGCTGCGCGGCGCGGAGATGGTCGGGGCCGGGCGGGTGGTGGGGCCCGAGGACGTGGCGTACGATCCGGCGTCGGGGGCCATCTACGTGGGCTGCGCGGACGGGTGGGTGAAGCGGGTCAGGGTGAGCGGCTCGGCCGGCGACGCCGCGGTGGAGGACTGGGTCAACACCGGCGGGAGACCGCTCGGCCTCGCCCTCGGGCGCGACGGCGAACTTATTGTTTGCGACCCCTACAAGGTCAGTAGCAACCGTCCGATTCTTGTTTTTTTGCGACGATTACGTATGTCCGTGAGATTTAGTTTTTGCCGGAATTTTAATATTTTTTAGATATATATTTTTTAAATCATTGACAGCTGCTTTCATAATTTAAGCTTCGGTGGAAGGTTAGTGTTTTTTCATTAAATGGAGTGAGCTCGAGCTACGTGTCCGGGTCCATCGTCAAACTCGATGTACAAAAAGATATTTATGATAAAAATACAAAAGTTTTATTAATGGATATCTATATATATTAGATAATAAAAGGCCTTATACTTCATTATTGTCGTTAATATATCCGTTGTTGATTCAACTTTTCGATACAAGGAATTACTCGTGCTAGTGAGAAAGTATCCAAACTTGCAAAAAAATAAATGAATGACCATAATCATCGTTGGAGTGTCCAACAAATAGAACCTGAAATTTTTCTTTGAAGATTAGAGCTATTAAAATAGGATAGTTATGTTGTAGCGGAAAGCCACAAATTCCTTTCAAACATAAGTTTACTCTTTTTATAATATCATAAATTGCTTTTAGAAAATACGTAAGAAAATTAAATCAAATTTGGCTGAGCATTTATTAAACAATTATATATAGTGGGGTCTTTTCTAGGAGAATCAGGTAACAAGTCAAATGAAGTTTCGAAATTGGAGTTAAAAATGACGGTGTAACCGTCTAACACCAGCCACAAATTTATTTTGAAGAAATCAAAAGCCTTTTGGAATAGGTTTCAACTTTTGACTTCTATGTTTCTTTTTTCTTTTTTTTACTTTTATATTTTCTTTTGAAAGCTCAAATTCAAAGGCAAAATTAGAGGAGGCCCACTGTTCTTTCCACTATTGCAGGCAAGATACAATTAAATCTTCTAATCATTTATTAAATCCTAACTAATTAAATCCTCTAACCCTAAATCCGCTAAAGCGAATTTTCTTCAATATAAAAAAGAAAGAATAATTTAAATACGGAAATATAAATAATCACAAATAAAAAAATATTATGACTAACTAAAAAGAAATCGTTAATATCATTATAAAGATCGATTAAATTTCAAAAAAGAAAAAAAAAAAGAAATGTTAGCTTTGCAACTAATAAACAAATCATTGTGCAATGAAATGGGCCCCCATTCCTTTTGCTTGAAACAAAATTGCTTTAGAAGAACTGTCCGGTGACTTAAAATTAAGATCAATGATATCGATTATGCATAAAATAAGAACGATTTAAAGAAACAAATCAAAATAATAATATTCAAGAACATTGATTCTATGGGACCTCTTCTGATTTTTGTCTCTAAATTTATATTTCAGTATTTAAATTATTCTTTCTTTTTTATATTGAAGAAAATTCGCTTTAGCGGGATTTAGGGTTAGAGGATTTAATTAGTTAGGATTTAATAAATGATTAGAAGATTTAATTGTATCTTGCCTGCAATAGTGGAAAGAACAATGGGCCTCCTCTGATTTTACCTTCGAATTTGAGCTTCCAAAAGAAGTAAAAAAAAAACAAAATAAAGAAAGGAAACATCGAAGTCCAAAGTTGAAACCTGTTCCAAAAGTCTTCCGGTTTCTTCAAAACAAATTTGTGGCTGGTGTTAGACGGTTACACCGTAAGTTTTAACCCCACCCGCTCCCTTTTTTTGAAGGATTTATTTAGGGGCGGAGATCAAGACAACTGAACATCATTAATAACTGGTGAATTCTAGCAAAAAATAAGGTAGAAAAAAAAAAGATTTACAAAGATAAATTACTTGGGTATATTGGCCCACGTCAGATCTATTATAGTCCGATGCACATCGGGCCGTACTCAGGCCCATAAGCAAGATTACATAAATCGAATATTTATTCACTGTCCATTAATTTTGCATAGATTAAAAAAAAAATTTGAAGCCCGCGCACAATTACTTTTAATGTTCCTAATTCATGCTCGTTATAAATTAAAGGTCCGTTTGTTTTGAGGAAAATTATTTTCAGGAAAAAAAATTTCGACTTTTCAGTATTTAGATGACTAAAAACTAATCGATTTACGGAGAACTTTTTTGGTGGACTGAAAATAACATGCTTAGATTGGGGGAAAACGAGTTTCCTTTCTAACAAAAAAGAAAATATTTTCTCTAAATCATTAAACAAATTAAAATTAGCCATTTTCTTCGAAAATGATTTCCATGGAAATATTTTCCATTATCATGAAATTTTCGTATTTGTTAAATCAACTTTTCCCCTAGCTCCCATGTTTAGCTATTTTTTGAGGTGGAGAAGTGAGTAAATTTAAGAATGTGTTTAATTATTGTTATGCCCAAACCCCCCCCCCACACACACACACACACACACACACATATAGAGAAAAATGACTTTCGAGAAATATGGATCATGCATTGCGAAGTGTCGATTCTATTGAAATTGGCATATGCAATAGGGGCTACTGAATGTGAGCAAACACGGAACCGTGGAGCTATTGACGGATGAGGCGGAAGGCGTGAAGTTCAAGCTCACGGACGCCACGGCCGTGGCCCGTGACGGGACGATATACTTCACCGATGCCTCGTACAAGTACGCCTTCCACGAGTTCATTTGGGACGTTCTGGAGGGCCGGCCGCACGGGAGGTTCTTGAGCTACGACCCGGCGACCAAAGAGACTAAAGTGCTAGCTCGGGATCTCTACTTTCCCAACGGCGTCGCGCTCTCGCCCGACCAAAGCTTCGTGATCTTCTGCGAAACCGTCATGTGAGTTCGACGGGATGTTTACAAAGACTTCTTTTGCCAAAAATCCTCACAAATTGATGGTTGATAAACATGGATGATTTGCATTCCTTAGGAGGAGGTGTAAGAGGTACTATATAAAGGCGAGCGGAAAGGGTATATTGACACATTCATCGGCGGCTTGCCGGGGTATCCGGATAACATCAGATATGATGGAGAAGGCCATTACTGGATTGCACTCTCCTCGGTGAGTAGATCATCGTCAATAAGTTTGTAAACATACATTACAACTCTTGTTAACCTAAGCTTGTCTTCTTATCAGCTGATTTAGGGTTTCTATACGTTTCTTTCTTTGCTCCAACTTGAACAATCTCTGGTGTGACGCAGCAGCATTGTGCACTGCTCAAATGAATTTACAGTCATTCGTCCCACACAGATCAACGTCATGTGTCAAGGATCAACCCCATGAATGTGAATGATGGCACTGATTCTTCATTCACGTAACATATGAATCGTTTTCGCAGGGAACCTCGGTGTCGTGGGATTTGGCGTGGAAGTATCCGTTCATAAGAAAAGCAGCTGCGATCTTGGAGAGATTGAACAGACGACCGGCGATGGAGAAGAACGGCGGGGTTTTTCAAGTCGATTTGGAGGGAAAGCCGGTTGCGCATTACTACGATCCTCAGCTGTCATTGATATCGAGTGGGAACAAGATTGGTGACTACTTGTACTGCGGTTCCCTCCACTATCCTTACATCCTTCGCCTCAAATTAGATTAGAGGCTTCTTGTTGTGTTATGAACTTAAGCCAACCGTCGCGATTATGTTTTTAATTAAGGATTTGTATGTTTCACTGAAAATTTCACGATAAAAGAAAATATTTTCCATAGAAATTATTTTCATTTGTTTTGTGATTTAGGGAAAATGATTCATTTCTTCGTTTTCCCAAATCTAAGGGTGCGTTTGTTTCGCAGAAAACTCATTGATAAAGGAAAATATTTTCCGGGAAAAGTATTTTTCAGGAATACGATTAGTTTTCTATTGTTTGGTGATACATGACCGAAATCGTTTTCTGATATTTGAATTTCTTTGGAAAAATTATTTCAATCTCATGACTTTATTTCAGGCAAAAAAAATCAATTTTTTTAATATTTTTAAAAATTCGATTTTTAATTATTTTTTTATTTCTCTTTTTCTTTTTCTTTTTCTTTTTCTTTTTCTTTTTCCTCCTTCCTCTGCCTCTACCGGCCGGCGACGACCCCAGGCGAGCTCGAGCTCGCCTAGATCTGGTGAGCTGCGGGCTTGCCTATATCTGGCGAGCTCATAGCTCGCTAACCTCGACAGAGCTGGAGCTGGCGAACTCCAACTCGCCTAGAATTGGTGAGCCGCGAGCTCGCTGGCCTCGGGCAAGGTCGAGGCGTGAGCCCGCCGAACATGGCAAGGTCGGGCCTCACCGGCCTCGAGCGAGCTCGACCTCGCCGCAGTGAGGCTGGCGAGGCTCTAGCTTTCCGAGATCTTGCGAGCTCGACCTCACCTGAGACTGGCTGTCGCTGGCCTGTGCTTGTGGCCGAACCAGCGAATGGAAGAAGAAGGAAAAAAAGAAAAAAAAAAAGGAAAAATATATATATAAAATATTAAAAATTCAAGGTGAGCAATTTCCCAAAAGTGTTTTCACTTTCTTAGATTAGAGAATTCACTTCCTAATTTTGTAAATAAATGTTTTCCTTGATCGGAAAGTGTTTTCAGTTGACTTTTCATGTGCGGCGAACCAAACTGGTGAAAGTCCGATAACGAATTCTCGGAAAACACTTTCCCTTAAACAAACGCACCCTAAGTTTTTGTTTTTGTTTTCAGTCAATGAAAAAGGTTTTCTGTCATCCAAATACCGGAAAGTCGACAACCGCTCCCCACACTCCCTCTTGCTTCGGGTTTCTCTTTTTTCCTTGAAGCCGCTGCCCACTTCTTGAAGCACATCCCTGTCCCTGTCCCTCTTCCTACCTCTCTATCTCCTTGTCTTCGAGACTTCTTCGTTGATTTTGCGGACGATGCGGTTGACTTCCTCCACGGAAGTGGAGAGTTTTGTCCTGTGAGCCAAGAATTTCGAAGCGCGAGCGCCTCAACTCTTCCGGATCTGCTCGCTCTCTCTAGCTCCGGTGCTTGCTCTATATAGTCGAGCGCTCCACAAGTTTTCAAGACTCCTTTTCTGCTACCTTTAGCAGTCGGCTTATATGAAAGTGATTTTGTGATCAATCGGCACCTCTACTGTGGGTTTTTTTCTCCCGATCTAGAGCTGGATCTAGATTTGAGCGCTCTTTTATTCCAATCTAGTTATAGATTTGGGATTTACAAGGCGTTTTTGTGCTCATTCAACCTATTTGTGTTGTTGTTTTCTTATACGGTGATGGTGCTGCGGACGCCGAACCTAGGCGCTCACCGCCTTTTGGTAAAGTCATAGCTACCAGAGCGGGAAATCTCTGCGTGTGCTCATCACTAATGATGATGCGAGATTCGTGATCGGCTGCCAGTTGTGCTTTGACATAATGACAGACTCGTCTTTGTGGAATGAGCGAGTCTCTGCAGGCGGAACCAAGTTGATTTATCTTTCAGATTTACTTGTTTTGTGAAATTTGCATATTTATCTTGAAGTTATGTACCTCTTCTTCATGTGAAATGAAAATTTTCTTTCCGATAAAAAAAAAAAAGAAACACCGAAAAGTCTGAAAATAATTTTCAATAAACAGTCGTCCTTCAAATAAATGGATCCTAAGTTGTGCTTGACGTGGATCGGTAGAACAAGGATGTCCTTTATCATCTCGTGAATATTGTTGGATAGCACGAGGACCATTGTTAATGTTGATGAAAGTGACATTGCTTTTGATGCGCATGTAATATTATATTCTTAGGCTTCCCCATTGTTTATGTTGTAGGCTTTGTAGCTCATGTTAAGATATTGGCGCATTTGGAAACGTCTTTTGCTAAATAAACAAAGTATTATGGTGCTTTGAATTCAGTGGTACCAAAGCAAGGATATTCCGTGGGTCCGTCTCCCCACCATTAATTCCTCATGAAAATTTTTTAGCCCGGGTTTATAGATGGCTAGCATTTGACTCGATTGAAAAAGTGAGTTTAGTCCTGCACAAGAAAATTAGTCTGAAATTCTCGACAATAATTCAATAAAAAGTCCCGCATCAAAATCGTTAAAAATTCTTTCCCAAAAGTTAATTAGGCAGAGAAGGATTTCATCTAAAAGAATACCACAAAAGTTCCATATGCAGGTAATATGGGATATGTTTCAAATGAAATCACATAAAAATGCCCGTGGAGTGGAAGAATAAATTGAGGGGATAATGACACTAATAATTTCTAAATTTTTGTCCATTGTGCGAAGAATTTCATCTAAAAGAATACCACATAAGTTCCATATACAGGTAATCTAGGATATGTTTCAAATGAAGTCACATGAAAATGCCCGTGGAGTTGAAGAGTAAAATAATGAGGATAACGACACTGATAATCTCTTAATTTTTTCCCATTGCCCATTGTGCAATGTCATTCTTGGGATTTTTAATTTGTTCAAAATTCTAAATGTTCATTCCTGTCCCTAAATTTTAAATTTATTCAAATTAATCTCTTAATAATCTCTAAATGAAGTCACATGAAAGTTTAGGGATATATTGAACATTTAGGAGTAATTCTAGGACCACATTGAACAAATTAAAAATTTAAGGATGGCAACTAGTGTCATTTTCTCTAAATAATGAGATTGCAAGAGTTCGCACTTGGAAATGAAAATAATAGGACACGGAAAAATAAAACTTGGCTATGTCATGAACTATTGAGAAAGAGAAAATAGAGATCTGTATTTTATTCACTATTTCACCAAATGAAAATGGGTATCGAGTGACTTGCATATATATAGCATACATATGTGGAAAGTGCACCAAACGACTATGTTAACTAGGAAGAGGATACGTACCTAGGAACAACCAAATTTCGAATGAATGGCGGGTGATCTATAATCAAATACTTTTCTAATTTAATTTTTTATCCTTTTAATTTCACACAATTTAAATATCTTTTTTCCAAAATAGATGACATCTACAATCATTATATCTTATTCTGGAGACATTCGGGCATGCTTAGCGCCATGGTCAATGTTGTTCATATTGCGGGAGACGACAAAAGCATAGCCTGCGTCGAGCGGCAACGTAACACAGCCATCCGAGTCAGAGTGATGAAAGACATTATATTCCAATTTTCATACTTTCATGTCAGTCCAATGATTAAAAAGTGCATGATTGATTGCCACCAAAACCAGAAAAAAGAGAAGACATTGTTGACCAAGGAGAGCAGCCGAAGAATGTCCCTAGCCTCTTCCACGGCTACATACAACCGTGCACGCACCACGAGTTCATGGTGGAAAACCAAAGGTATATTCTACTGGCTTTTTTGTGTTCTTTCTACTGTTTTGCACTTGAGCTCCATCACATTATTCGATGGTTTTCTTCTTTAAGAATGGGAAAAAGATTCTTATAATAGGAGAATTTTGTTTGGTTAAATTCGATTTATAGATGGCAAGCGAGAGTCATCTAAGCTTGATGTTCTGCTAAATGCTTCTATAGCTTAACCTCTCCATATTTGCAGATCATTATGTTAGAAAATACTGTGAGAATAATTACCCAGTTGATCCTAAATCTATTGTAGGAAATCTCCAGTGATGATTGGATGCCACGTTAACAACGTCCGATGGCAATTGGCCAAAAGAATTATATTGAGATTTCAAGCAAGAATTTAGGACTACATTGACAAAATTGAAAAAATTTATGACTGAATTGATATCCATAATGATAATTTTTTCGAAGTTGAAAGATATTATTCACACTTGGTACTTATATATTTGAAGATAATATACATTATAAATTAACCATCAAAACACCTCTTAAATCAACTATTAGATTGTCATTGCTCACGATGAAAAGCATCATTTTCTAACATGCTCAAATATTGGCACATTGTCCTTTCAATGGCGATATGCCAAATAAATATGAAAGCATCTCACATCGTTTATTTACAGGTTGGACTCTCTAACCTGGTATAAGAAATATAGTCCACACAAGTTTATTTTCTTAATCCCATTTGCACGCGAGAGGGATATTACAGTACGACAACAACAAATACGACTCAAAGTTCATCACACAATCAGTGAGAAATGTTCTTTGAAAGGCAATTTTAGAGTCATTTACTTACACACACACACGAGAATGACATGAGGACCACAAAAGCAATGGAGAGCATATGCGCATGTTTTAGGCCCGTGTCTGTCCCTACTTCCCTCTCTTTGCCACTCGATCTCGTCATAGACAGATTTCCATAGCCACATCAATCCATCGTTCATGTCCTGTCCTTACGTTTTCAGCAGATCGAGTTTAATATATTTTGATAAGAATGGTGATCGTGTAGACCTTGTTTTGCTTCGATACTGATAGCAAAGTCGTGCCTGTCGTCGCCGTTCGATAAGGACCACAAGTCCCCCCTTTTGCTTTTTCTTTGTGTAACTTCAAGTGATGTTGAAGAGGCAAGTCTTGCGCATGCACTCCACATTTGCATTCCATTAGATGACTGTCGAATCTATTCAATTGTCTATAGTTAAAATCGTGATTGAGCGAATGCTTGTTTGGGTGCTCGCCACGTGACTTCATTTTGTCTCTGTGTTTACGACGTGGCATGCTAGGGGGCACGGTTTTGTCACATGGCACACAATTAATCGGCTTTTAGCTAAATAATCTGTCATCGCACGACTTCTACATCTTATTGGATTTAAATTCAGAAAATAAATGAAGAGAAGTTACATAAAGATTTTGTCTCTTATTGAGTTTAAACTTGAAAAAAAAATGATAAATAAGAAAAAAAAAACATTTTCAATTATGCTCAATCATCTCTCAGTTTTTCCCTTCTATTTATATTGACTTCATATATTAGAAAATGGATAGAGAGAAAGTATATTAAGATTTTATCTCCTATTAAAATTAAAACTTAAAAAAGGATATACTAGAGAGTATTTTAAGTTATACTCTTCGCTAACCTGGCTTAATTTCAATGCAGTTTCTTAAATATATATTTGTAAACAATGAAAGTTTTCAGCCAAATATATAATTTTGCATAGTATTTTCAATGCTCGATGATTCTTGTTGGCAAGTACAATCAAATTAGGATATGTATTCATGATAGAATAACTAAAGTTGAAGGAAGATATTGGTCAACTGGATGAGCTAAATCAAATTAGCATCTATCCTGAATATAAAATTTGCTTAAATCAAACTATATATTGATCATAATTCTAATTATCGATATACAATCTTGATTTGACCAATCAATAGCAATTATGAGGATAAAACACTCCTATCATCCTCTCTATTAATCGGATGCTTCTCTATTCATTTTGGGACGATCAAATGAGGACTTTAAATTCTCTGAAATTGCTATTAAGAAGTTCTTGAAAATTTTAAAAGCATGAAACTCTGTTGGATTTTGGTCATCAAGACTTCCATGAAATCTTTTGTCATCAAACCGTGGCCGAGGTTTACTTGGTTTTGGTGGCCCTAATGCCAGCCACTTTGGATTGTCATTGGATCTATCAAACGGGTGGATTAGGTTGGGTTTGGATCGGATAATAAATAATTTAACCCATTAACCTGTTTATTCGTAATGAAAATTTCTCGACCCATACCTAACCCGACTCATATTACTAAAACACTTCCATATTTAACCAATCTAGGAAATTTTATTTTTTTATGATTTTATAAAATACATATTACTAAAAACATTTCCATATTTAACCAATCCAGGAAAACTTAAATTTTATGATTTAAAAAATATATATTATTTAAACACTTCCATGCAATACAAATCTAATTTTTTTAAAATTAAATTTTTATATTTTTTCTTTTTTCTTTTTCTTTCTTTCTTTTTTTTTTCTTCTATGTCTCGGCGAGGGTCCTGGCCCTCCACTAGATCTAGCGAGGGCCGCGAAGCCCTCACCGGTCACGGGCCTCGCCAAATGTTGATGAGGGTCGCCCAGACCTCTTCGGATTTTGAAAGAAAAAATAAAATAAAATAAAAATTATTTAAAAATTCAGAAAATTAAAAAAGACTGAAGCTTGTTAGGTAATCCATTTATCACTTAATTAAAATTCATTTAAAACCCATTAAGCTTGGCGGCCCACTCCCAATGTGTATTGTCAAGACATGTTAACACGGAGCTCCTCTGGATGATCTCCCCCTCCCTAAGTGACACTATCGGGTTTCTACTACTGACTTTCCAACACATCACATTATGCATTTTTTTTTCAATAACTAAAAACCATGATTTGACCCAAAAAAATGAAAAACCATGACAGTACCCCAAGTCACGACATATTAAATGATACTATTGCCGGAATGACTCGATTGAGAAATTCTTATGCTTCACACGTCGCAACTGATATAACTCGATAAAGCCAATCTAATTATACAAACGGGAGAGCATTTGTGCAATTATCCCTCCTATCCAAGATTAATCAATCCATCACAAATCGAGCCATCCGAACTGTCGGATTTACGGCGACGTCACGTGATCGGACGGTCCAGATCCCTCCCCCGCCCGTTACCGTGGAGACGAGCGCGATTTCACCACTTGTCCGACTCGAGTGGCCACATGTAAGCCATTCGCAGACAGAGAAACAGGGGAGGGAGGGTGGTGGTGCTTCATGCTTCGCTCATCGGGACGTTTGGCGTCCGTTTCCCTTTTCTCCGGAGCCTCTGTCTTCATCCCTCTCTCTCACTCTCTCCGCTCAGCAAGAACCGAGAGAGGACTGAACCATAAAGCAAGCAAACGGGGAGAAGAAGAGAAGGGGGGCGGGGGCGCTTCGTCCCCTGTCGCTGCACCGAAACCAACACCGACCCGTTACAGTTTGACCGCCATTTCCGCTAAATGTGGGGACCTTTCTTCATCTGGGCCTATAAAGCTTGAGCCTTTTCGCTTCTTTTCTGCCATTGCCATGACCTGCTTGAGCGACGACAGCGGCGCCCCCCTGCTCTCGGAGATGATTCCGAGGCGGGTGTCGATCAAAGAGCAGAGCCTGGAGGGGTACCTGGAGTGCCCGCCCGAGAAGGTCTTCCCCGTCTACGCGATGGGGGTCTGCAGGCCCGAGTCGGAATCCGTCGTCTCCGTCTCGGGCTCCGGCGACCCGATTTGGGACGCCGTGAGGGAAGAGGCCAAGTTGGAGGTGAACCCAATTTCTGGAATTGTGAAATTTTTGTTTTTGATTTGGTTTACGTATGTTTTTGTCCAGATGAACTCTCCTTTTTGCTGATCATCGTCTTTCTTATGTTTGTTTGAAGGTGGGTTGTTTTAGCGCTTTTAATGAGATTTGTTGGAAGTCGGATTGGATTGGTTTGGCCCTGTAATTTATTTTTAAAGCTGAATGAAAGCCTCGCAAACATATAAACTCACAGTAGATGGTATCTTCAATATCAAGTTTAAGTTTCTTTTTACATTTAAAAGTTGCTTTGCACTGTTTACTGTTTAATCGAATAATTCAAGCTTGAACGAGCTCGAGGTCACTTTCTTTTGTAGAAGAATGGATACCCACATCACCTGGTTTGTGAATTTCATATGTGAAGCGCAAATTTCTTCTGTGATGAAATGAGCATTGAGATATTAGGCATGTGGGTAATTTCACTAATTAAAAGATGGTGAAGGATTTCTGAAGGAACTTCAGGAAGTTCTGAGAAGCGTGTCACTTGAGCTGACTAAAAAAGAATATTCCCTCCAAGCAGCCTGCTCAACATGTTGTTGCTTTGAAGAACGCTTGGATTCAATGCTCAATTTGTTTGTGAAGACCATTCTGGTCATTCAAGTGCAGTGTTCCTAACAAGTTTTCTAAAATTATAATTCGTGACAGGCAGAGAAGGAGCCTATTTTGAGCAGCTTTTTATATGCCAGTGTCCTATCACATGAAAATTTGGAGCTGGCATTGGGGTTTGTTTTGGCCAATCGGCTTCACAATGCTACACTGCTGGCAACACAACTTGTTGACATCTTTTATGATGTTATAACGAATGATAAAGCCATTCAACGTGCTATCCGCCTGGATGTGCAGGTAAATTACTTTTTGTTTGAGTGGCCTTGGTTTACTCCTTTGATGCGGTCGGTTTGACCTTGGAGCTTTATCTTTCATAGGCATTCAGAGACAGAGATCCAGCTTGTATATCGTATAGCTCAGCCCTATTGTATCTTAAGGTAATTTTGCATTTTTGTACTACTTAGAAAACATTTCACTACGTACATGATTTTATTACTTATTCAGGCTGTCTCCTTACTTTGTTTTTGCTAAGTCTTGAAGAAATATTTACAGCAAGTCATGGTCATCTTGATAGCAAAAGTCAGATGTGTTGTTAGTACACATGGTCCAAATGATGAGAAACATTCTATTTGACTAGTCTAGAGGATATCTTGAGCACAATGTTCACCTAGATTTTGGAAACTTCAGGTGTCAAGACTTTAAATGCAGATATATTAGCACTGTACTTCTGTATATATTTGAACACATTTACTGATAGTTTACCGGTCTCAGGCTATGGTCATGCAGTAGTCGGAGAAGTTCTTGATTAGCATTCAGAATGCAAAAGTATTACTGACAAGGTCTTCCTTTACTTCATTTTGTAGGGTTACCATTCCTTGCAATCATATCGAGTGGCACATGCATTGTGGAAAAAAGGAAGGAAAGTACTCGCCCTGGCATTGCAAAGCCGTGTTAGTGAGGTAGACTTATCTGATCATTCTCAATAACTGTTATAATCAGGAATTTGCTTTCTTAAGAATTTTCCTGCCCTTTTTCTCTAGGTTTTCGGAGTTGACATACATCCTGGTACGTTAGTTCTTTTCTTAAAGTTCATGTATTCTTGAGTTCTACTTCTATATTTTACTGAAAATGCATAATCACGTCATCCAAACTTCTGCATATACTTTTGAGACCAGCAATAGTTGAGAGCAGCATTTGGTGCCAACTTTCGGAAAACAACACTGAACAAATCTAGACTTTCTAGGTTTTTTAATTATGTCATGTCATTTAAACTTTGACTTTTGGGTACTTTGAAGATGACTTTTGTACTTGTAGTATATGTGAGTGATAATGAGCCTCTCTATCCTACTCTTTAGTTTGCAATGCTATCTCATGATCTATTTTTTGGGTTATTTTCTGCAGCCGCTAGAATTGGAGAGGGAATACTACTGGATCATGGGACAGGCTTGGTTATTGGCGAGACTGCTGTTATTGGAGACAGAGTTTCCTTGATGCAGGTAAACCAAATTCTCTTTTCCCCTCTGTTTCTTTTCAAAACCGTTACTTTTTTCTTTTGGCAGCCTCTTAGAAATCCTGCCGCTTGCTGATGCGTATAATTCTCCCTGGGACTTTTACTAATCATAAATGACATTTAAGCATGGCTCAGTACTGTAGATTTGGATTACTGCAGTCTCGCTTTTATTATGCATTGTGATGCATCAGTTTTGCTCTTTGGCATATAAATTTTGGAGTACTATGGACTTAATAGACACCTTTTTATTTGCCAAAACTTAGGAGACAATGATCAGAAGGATTCTTCGTACGAATATAATATACCAGGCTCTTTATTATATTAGGTTTTGATCTTTCGAAAACTTAGCCTTTCGAAACTCGCAACTGATTCAATGTTAATTGTCATCTGTGGATATTGATGAACTTCAGATTTCAGAAAATATACATTTTAAGAAGCAGAAGTTATTTTTGGAACTTGTCATCATTTACCAGTGTAACTGCAATTCAGATACTTCAATGCTTGGCTTGTAGAATAATGCTTTTACACATTTGAAGAGGAACACGTGCTTCAAGAAGAAGTCTTCTGTTTATTCCTTTTCTTTCTCTGTGAAAGGGACGACGTTATGTTTATTCAAAATGGTTGATAGGGTGTGACTCTGGGAGGGACCGGGAAAGGGACCGGTGATCGTCATCCAAAGATTGGTGAAGGTGCACTTATTGGAGCAAGTGTAACCTTACTTGGAAATATCAAAATTGGGGAGGGTGCGATGATCGCAGCTGGTTCCCTGGTATTGAATGATATTCCTCCACATGGGTAAGCTCTTGATGGACTACCCAACCGGCAACCACAGCTTTAATAAATTTGTCTTTCTATTAATTTGATTGACTCGTAAAGTTTGCTAATGGTTTCTTCTTTGTCATTAAAGCATGGTAGCAGGAATACCGGCGAAGGTGATTGGTTATGTAATTGAGAAAGATCCATCATTGACAATGAAACACGGTATGTCATGCATGTAAATAAAACATATGTTTCTTCGCTTCCTATGTTTCTCTCACATATTCCCTGGCGGTCGCTTTTAATGTTTTTGTCGTGGAAATGGATTTGGAGTTAATATGTTATTATCTACATCTAGACCTAGTGTTAATTCTACGTTTTTATGGATGAATGAGGAAAATTTTCCATCGGGGGCTTCATACATAATTGAGAGTGTAAATGTGACCATTTAAGAGATGCATGCTTATGTAAGGAATATGGTCATAGTTGCAATCGTCTTGGGAAATTTTTTCAATGCCGTATCTTTTGCTGTTTCTACTACGTAACAGCGCTATGCAGGGTAGTGCAATTTTATCTCTTCTGCCACAGCACTAAATATTTTACCGCTTTTGATTTGTCATTCTCTTTACACTCACAGCGTCCTGCTTCTGATCATCTGGAATCCTGTTGTTAATGATCGTAAGACATTCTTTTAGCATCTGGCATGTATCTCATTTAGTTACTTGAATTGCAGATGCATCCAGAAACTTTTTCGAGCATGTTGCTGTGAAATTCACAGGTAGAAGGTCCACAGGTGAATCATTTTCCCATTTTCATTTCTTTCCCTGGAAATGTAGAGCATTTCTATATCTATGTCGATAGCACAAACCCAAGGGACCGAATTTTCTCCGACTAATATCAAATTAATCTGAATTATTTTCAGGAGTTCAAGATCCGGGAAGAAACAATTGAAGCGCGTGATAAAGCTCACGAGCAATCTGAATTATTTTCAGGAGTTCAAGATCCAGGAAGAAACAATTGAAGCGCGTGATAAAGCTCACGAGCATCGATCTTTCTGCGAAGAAGCTGGCCGGGCATGCGTGCTCTTTAAATTGGAGCGAACAGTATCGTGTATTAAAATAACATAACATGGAGGTTTATTTGGCATTGATAAACCTCTAGTCTGTCTGTAATCATCTTATTGATTGGGTAGCCAAACATGTGAAATCTTTACATGATATCCTCCTTACAGAATTCCAAAGGGGCTTGGTTAGCAGAACCCAAAGAGATTCAAATCTATATCTTTTATTTAACTATAAGTACAAGTTATAAGTGAAAAAAATCAATAAGCATGATTTATTGGTTTGTCTAATCCTTTTTAGGGGTTTAAAACCCCTTTTAATCCCTAAACTAAGGAATTTCAAAAATACCACTTGGCCAACTCAAAAATTTAAATTTCACTCAAAGTGGGTGGCCACGGGTATTTTAAGCCATTATGTGAATTTTTTTATATTTTTTTGGGGTAAAATTTATTAAAATTTTTTACTTTCCCTAAATCTGTTTCTTTTTATTTTTCCGAAAAACTTTATGAAATTTTTTTAATTTTTTCAATTTCGGAATTTTGCAAATATTTAAGGGTTTTCTGAGTTTTTCTTATTTTTATGGATTTTCTGAGAATTTTTCTGATTTATATGAATTTTGGGAATTTTTTAATTTTCTAATTTTTATGGGATTTTTCTGAAATTTTTCTAATTTTTATGAATTTTCGGAATTTTTTAATTTATTCTAAGCCATTATGTGAATTTTTTATTTTTGATTTTTTGGGGAAAAGTTTATTAAAGCTTTTTACTTTCCCAAAATTTGTCTCTTTTTATTTTCCAGAAAGCTTTTTATGAATTTTTTTTAATTTTTTCAATTTCGGAATTTTGCAAATTTTTATGGGTTTTCTGAGTTTTTTTTAATTTTTATGGATTTTCTGAGAATTTTTCTGATTTTTATGAATTTTTGGAATTTTTTAATTTTTTTATAATTTAATTAATTTTTTAATTTTTTTATTATTTCCGCCGAGAATGGATCGGACCGGTGCTTTGAGACGGTTTGCGGACGACGGAGGATGGAGGAGGAGCGAGGTCGCGGCTTGAGGACCGGACCTTTCTATTTCTATTTCTATTTCTATTTCTATGAACAAAGAAGTAGATTTTTCTACTTCTTATTTCGCTCCAAATCTATTTCTTGGCCACTTTTCTATTCAAGCCAAACATGTGAAATCTTTACATGATATCCTCCTTACAGAATTCCAAAGGGGCTTGGTTAGCAGAACCCAAAGAGAAGCCTACAGGGATTAATAAGATGTTCTTGAGTGGGACTTGATAGAGATGGGTGTCAGGTGTGAGAAACAATGGCCCAAAACAAAAGGGGCTAAGGACGAGGGAAAGGTAAGAACCTGTTCAAGAGGTTACATGTGCTATACTTGGGAGTTAGAACAGATTGCTATGTCCAAGTATGGATGATTCGGATAGGTCTTTGATTGTGCCGGGAGATTATCGGGTATTTCGGGGGTATTGTTGGTTCCTCGCGCATGCATGCTGGCCTACGATGACTTATATTTGTTGGTGATTTAGTATGTGTCGGCCGCGGCGCTCCGACGACTCCTTTCCTGCCAACAATCTCAAAACTCAAAAATGGCGCAACAATGAATGTCGTCCCATTCTACAAGTGTTGGCAAGAGCAATTGATCTTAATATTGTTTCTAAGGGTTTGTTTGTTGGAAAGAACATTGTTTTATTCATTGATCTACAGAAAAAGTTTTCTCTGAATTGAAAATAACAAGTTTGAATTGTGAATTGGGGGAAAACAAAGATTAATTTTTTTTCTTAAAAATGATTTTCAATAAATAAATATTAACTGTTTTTTTTTATAAATGGTTTTCTTGGAAATTGTTTTTTTATCATAATTTTTTTAGCATAACAAACACATCCTAATATGCGTTGACAAAGACAAAGACGAGACTATGTTAGTCTTTCCTAATTGGGTCTCCAAACTTCTCATGGTGCAAATCAAGTCATCTAGCCAACTCGACTTTTGTAATCATGTCCTTTTAGTATTGTCACACTTAAGTATGTTAATATACAAAAGGAAGAAAACTATTTTAAAATTTTAATTTAATAAAAAATGAACAAAAACTATTTTTTTTCCTTAAATAAAAAGATAGACATATTCATTTTGCCCACAATTCCTAATTATCTGGCGCCGCCATTTTCTCACCAACATGATTTATTTCTCAAAACAATAGTGTAGTACTTGTTGATAATAAATCTCTTAAAAATAGTTTTCAATTTATTTGACGGTCTTATCAAATGTTGAAAAAACTAAGTGGCTATTTTCTGAAAATAAATTACTTCATTATGTCTCGATGAAATTAGCGGAGAGAGTCTTTATAGGCGAGAGCATATTTAATTTTTCATGAAAGAAAAGTTTAGTTTGGAAAATGCGAAAAATCGCCCGACGATAATCCCTCAACCGGGAGATACCCGCGGTAATCCACGCGACCTCACGCGCCGCCATAGCCGCGGAGGAGCGAGGGTGCGAAACTTGTATAGTTCCTCAATTTACGAAACTACCCCGCTCGCACACTCGGAAAGTCAGAAGCAATTCTCTTCGTACTTCATCGTTCTCTTCCGTTGTCTCTGCTTCTCCTCCTTCAAGCACGCACCTTGCAGCCAGGGAGATACGGAGCCGCTCCGAACGGCGCGTTTCGGATTCTCCCCGACACCCAACAGCCCAAGGAACGCCTGGGCACCGGAGATCTGATTACTCGGGACGAACGATCTCAAATCTCGTCCCCGGAACCTGCAAGTCCCCGAATTTCGAAGATTCATCGGTAAGTTACGCGAGAGAATTCGAGCTTTGTTGGATTTCCATCTGCATCGGAGAATACGGAGTTGCTTGTCGGGGGCAGGTGGATGTTTCTTGCATTGTCGTTGTCCTGCGTTTTGTTCCGCGTTGCTTGATCGGTCGAGCTGAAACGTGGGTTGCTTCATTCGGGTTGATTTGAGGTGTGCTTTTAATGAATTTCGCGCAATGACATTCGTGTGTGACGCTATTGGATTCAGAATTTTTCAAGTCTTTAAAGCTGGAGTTTTTTGCTTGGGACATGGTGATTCACTTTGATCACCGACAGTTATTCAGTTTTGTCAATCCGTGCAGTTGCTTTTCTGCTTAGTTATCGAGTAGAGATTGAACTTTGCTGTAACCAGTGCGTTTTGTTATCGTTTTTGTTTTCAGTGTCATTAGGCTGCCAAACGGGTGATGTACTCGGAAAAGATATTGAATGAGCCTGCGCATACATTCGGGTGGAGGACACGTTGATTGTCAAGAGCATTAGAATGTCTGCAGAGGGAGGTGAGGTTGCTGAAATGCGGGAAAGTAACATTGAAGATTCTTTGGAGACAGGGAATCACATGAATGACACTAGCCTTAGAAGCAATGGGCTTCCTGCGAAGGAGAATGGATCATGCAAAAACACCCCGCATTATGGTGATACTCATGATGAGCTCGTGCAGATGGTTACTGAACTCAAGCTCCAAAACGAGTACTTGAAGTCTCATTTTGAGGGTCTAAAAGATCTTCACTTGGAAGAGATTAGGTCCCAACAACAAACGAAAGGGGGAGGGCAGGAAGGTGAAGATGTGAAGAGACTCAATGAGAGAATAGAATCTCTGGAGAGAGAACTACTGGAGGAAAAGCAAACAAGAGGTGCAGCAGAGGAGGCTCTGAAGCATCTTCAAGTAGCACATTCAGAGACAGATGCACGAGCCCAGGAGCTCTCAGCCAGGCTTGCTGAAGGTTAGATGAAATTTCATGTCTGGTATTTAGTGAGATCTTCTTCACATGCTGTACCAGTGAAACATTCTCAGGATGGTCAGGAGTCTGTTGAATTGCTGTTTTTGGTTGGATTTGTATTTAGTTTGCGCGGCACTTTTTGGAGTATGAAAACAGAAAAGGGGAAACTCAAATATGTTAGGCTTCGCTTCATTTCAGAGAAAAGTTTTCTATGATATGTTTAGCATGCAAAACCAAAATCTCTTTAAGAAACGAAATCATAATAATATGCTTGTATTCCACCAAAATCGCAAAAGAGTCTATTTTTGGATGACAACTTTAACTTTGAAAGCAGTTTCCCTTACTGGCATTCGTGAATTTTTTTTCGGGTTTTGTCAAATGCATTTTCTGGACTTAGTTAATTCTTGAATGCAAATGGGAACAGGAAATTTAAAAAATTTAGATAATCAACAGTGTCATCTGCTGCTAGTGCTATTGTGCAATCAAGAAAGCACATGATGATTTGTCTTACATTTCCAGTCTAATTTATGTCCTGGTTCTTCTCATAGCTCAACAGAAGATGGATCAAGAAATAAAAGAGAGGGAAGAGAAGTACTCTGAACTCGATTCCAAATTTAGCAGACTTCATAAAAGGGCCAAACAGCGTATTCAAGAGGTTCAAAAGGTGAATCCTTTTGCCATATTTTTCATCCTTTGGTTACATTTTGATAATATTTTCAGAAGATTCGATTTACCTAAATGTGGATGAATTACTACCTAGCTGGATGTTTTGCTTGCTGTTGGCTTGTGAATTGACCTTAGATGTGTTTGGAGATCTTTAATTTCAGGAGAAGGATGACCTTGAAGCTCGTTTCCGTGAAGTAAATGAAATAGCTGAACAAGCTTCGTCCCAACAGTTAGCATTACAACAAGAGGTGGATCGGACTCGTCAACAAGCGAATGAAGCAATGAAGGCAATTGATGCTGAGAGGCAGCAATTAAGAAGTGCATGCAATAAGTAAACCTCCTTTTCCCTCCATGTAAATGAAGAAACTATTTGGTTTGTTATCTTTATGAGATTCCTAGTTCCTTTCTGCCCTTGTCTCTGGAGGAGTAGGAAAATCCCCCAAGTTGTTATATGTATATACTATTTGTCAGCTCCAACCATTGTTTTGGGATCGCATGCCCCCTCGCCAACCATGGTCCTGGAAACATTGTTCCAACTTTGGACTCTCTCATATTCCGAATTGCCAAAATTGGCGGTCCAAGCTACCTCTTCAAACTAACTGAATCAAAAAGTTTCTAGCACCAAAATTAATCTAAGCTAGTGTGCACCCTTCAACCTAATTTAGAATTTCCGATTCATAGAAACTAAATTGGACTAGCAGTATTTTGCTCTACTTGATTAATTATAATC